ATTACCTTAGAAAGAAAATATAGAGTGAGAAAAGGAGATGGGTCTAGGACCAAGTATTAAAGGGACTCTTACTATTTAATTGCTGGGTAGAAGAGGCTGAGAGAAAGTATGGTATTTCAAGAAATGTCTCAAGAAAGGGGGAGTGATTAACAGTTATCAGATGTTTCAAAAATCCAAAAAAATGTACATTAGATTTGGCATCAGAGAGGTCTTTGGGTGTCTTATAAACCTAGTTCAGCGTTGTGGCGGGGTAAAGCTAGGTTGGTGTGCATTGAGGAACGTGGGCATTGGTGGCAGGTAAGGGGAGTGGTGTGCAGTAAAATGTCAACCATAGCGAAAGGAGGGAGCGTGATCAAGGTGAGGTGGAAAATTGAGTGTACAAGAGAGAAGACATTATCCACAGTGTAAAAATTCTCTTCTCAACTCCCTGCAAAGAATTAATGACCATGGAGACCAAAGTTCCCTTTCATTCTTGTATTTCTATATCCTCAGAAGAATGTTCAACTCCTGTTTTCTTTGTGTAAGTTTCTCTTTCATTCTGTTTCCATAGCTTTACCCACTGGCTCATTATTCTGGCCCCTCTCCTAAGTTCCAGTCATGAATTTTTTAACTGCCTGGTAGAACTCTTTAATTGTCTCATGGCTCCTCAAATTCAGTGTGTCCAATTAATCATTTCCTTTTCAGGCTGACATAATTTACTAGTTCTGTTTCCTTCACTGAGAAATTCTTTGTTACTGAGAGTCTTCCTCTCTGGGTCTTCCATTTTCTGTCTTTTCCTCACATTCCCATTCTAGTCTCACCTCACTCACCCTCAGTCCCTGTTTGGTGGATTCAGAATCACAGTGCTCCTTTTTGAAGGGTTATTTCCCCAAATCAAATTAGTTTGTTCTACCTCATTTAATATGGTGTTATCCATAAAATCATATTATTTTTGACATTTTATCCATTATGTGAAAAAACAGTAAGGACCACAAACCTATCATTTCTGTGAAAATGGCAAGGAGATTGAAGATTTTATTTAAGTACCTTTATATCAGCATAATTTATAGTTCATAATTGTAAATGTGAAATTTCCTGATTATAACTTTTAATGCAATTTTTAAGTCTGTAGACCAACTGTCCTACCCAACAATTTACTTATTTCTCTGAAACGGATATATTTAAAATAAAACATATTACCGGTATCCCCCACTTTCAGGAAGTTTGCTTTATGCCATTTTGCTTTTACAAAAGACCTGCATTAGTACCTGTTTTTCCTAACTGAAAAAAATCCAAAGAGGATTTTTGCTTTTATAAAAAACAAAACAAAAATAGCACTGGGCATTTGTTTTGCATGAGCCATTGTGGAGGCAGGGCACGGTGAGGGTGGCACCGCCAACCTGCTTCTGTGGGAACTGCACTCAGCATCTTGGCATCAAGCCACCATAAGTTTTGAACTGTCTGTGAGCATCTGTGCTTTATCTCAGTTTATTCTGTGCATTTGTTAGCAAGATGTGCCTTGAAGTAATTGCTTCTTTGCTTTATGCCATTTCAGCTTACAAAAGGTTTCATAGCTCTACTTTTGGATAGTGGGAGAAACCTGTATGTGTATTCTACTTTGGTTTCCTGTTACTTCAGGAAATTAACACAGTTATAAACCCAGTTTCATTATATGTAAATCTACTGATTGAACTGTAAATAATAACATACTTGTTTTTTAATTTTTGAATTGTATATTAGAGATTACTAACAAATACTTTTTGAAATAGAGCTATTGGAACATGATGAGGAAGATAAACTTTCATTTTATGTGGACTGATCTATATTTTAAAATGCTGTTTCATACACTATGGAAAATATTACTTTGTTTTTTAATATAGTTCTCAAAATAGTGGAAACTAGCATAATTACTACTAAATCTTCAGCTTTGAAGTGGAATTCTGATAGACACCCACAACAAAAATTTTAAGATGCCTGCATACTTTTGCATTGTAAGACGCCCACATCAATACTTAGTCTTGGAAAATGTAGCCTATTATGTATACACTTCTTTAGTTTTCTTTTAACAGAGATGGAAAGAGAGATGTCCTTCTGTGTATACTATATACAACTATATTTTTTGGTAATACTTGGAGGTTATGTAATATTTTAAAGTCTTTCATAAATTAACTGAACAGTATGAAATACCAGAATGAAAACTGAGGAACTGCTGTCTACTTCAGCGTTAACTGGATTAACACGCAAACATTTTTGCTCTGGCTTTTATTTGACTAATTGACAGTTAAGTCATCACTCTCTATAAGGAATCTTTTTTTTTTTTTTTAATTTGGGATCGTCATTGATACTTGGCTATCTAGGACACATCTGACAGTGGAAGTAACCAAAAGTGGGTTGCTTGTGATTGAGCTACACAGATCCCTGGTCACAATTTTCTATTTATACATATTTCCAACAAATTTAATGGTTACTGGTTTCCATGTGTACACCAGAGTCTAAGTAAGGGAGAGAGGTAACAATAGGCAGACACATTTGCTGAAATGAAGAGTGACAGTCTGCAGTCTGACACAAGAGATGAGAAAAATTACCAGAAGTAGTCATTTCAAAAAGTATTCATGATCCAAAAATTCCATTCCTAGATGTATCCCCAAGGTAAATGAAAACATGTCCTCCCCACAAAAGCTTGTAGACAAATGTTCACAGCAGCATTATTCATAATAGCCAAAGTCTGGAATTAGCTCAAATGTGATCATCAACTGATGGATGGAAAAACAAAATAAGGTATATCCTATCCGATAAATGGAATATTATTTGGCAATGGAAAGGAGTGAAATACTGATACATAACATAGAAAAACCTTGAAACCATTACAGAAAATGAAAGAAGCCACATACAAAGGCCACACATTGTATGATTTCATTATTCCATTTATATGAAATGTCAGAATAGCAGATCCACAGAGACAGAAAATTGATAAGTGACTGCCAGGAGCTTAAGGGAAGGGGAAGTGGGAAGTGACTGCTGGTGGGTGTGGAACTTCTTTTTGGGATGATGAAAATGTTGATTGGTGATAACATATAGCTCTTGTGAGTATACTAAAAATCATTGACTTGTGTACTTTGAATGGTGAGTCGTGTGGCATGTGAATTATATCTTAAAGCTTTTAAAAAAATGTAGCAGATTGGGGTAATTAAAAACAAAAATTTATGTGAGTGGTTAGTTCTATATATCATAAGCCTGCGACATCCCTTATAGAATAGTACAGTAACCATTGATATAGTAGTTTTAAAATTGTGTTTGTTGAAAGGGAAATTATTATAATTAACTTCTATTAGGATTTGTTTTAAATTTGTGAACTATCAGAAGTGGTTAACATTAAAGTTCATTTAAATTCTTAGTGATCTTTGAACTATTTGTTTTCTACTGTTAATGCAAACATGGGGATTAGTTGAAATTGTGATTATTTTTCTCTTAACATCTTTAAGAAAGCCTAGGTACAATAATTTTCAAAGACATTTAAAGACATTATTTCATCTAACTTATTATAATGTTTCTTTTATTGATTAAAAATCTAAATATTAGCAGTAGTTAACATTTATAAATTGGAGTGTAAGAGCTAATCTAGGTTGATAGTACTTTGAAAAAGCATATAGCAATAATGCATTAAAACAATTAAATGAGTCTACTTGGCTAACAGACATTGGTCAAGGAAAATAGGGTAGTTTGGATTATGACATAGATGTTGCTCTGAGGTGACACAGAACTTGCAACAGCTCATTTCTATGAAAAAAGTATTTATATTCAGAGTTCACTAGAGGGTATCAACCTCTGATAATGTGTTTTTGTTTGTTTGAAGTCCTATCGGAAATCTAGATCACGGTTCTCAGGATTAAATAATAATTAATTTAGTTGACTCTTCTGCATTTAAAGAATGATGTTTGAAATATAGCTGGTTTTTGTTCCCTGCTGTTGAGAATATGGGTAGAGGAAGAACTACGGGGGGATAGTGTTAAGGACATGATTCCGGATCTAGAACATTTTCTCTCCCCCAACACCTCCCTCGACCCTTTATGTCCCGTTTAAAGCACTGTTACTGGTTTGGAAATTTGTCATTACTTGGGTGTGTTGGGACTGAACAAAAGTTGAGAACCAGGGAGAGAGGGGGAGAGAGAAAAATAGAGAACAAAAAAATTAAGAATTATAGTATCAGACATGAAATGTAAAAATCTAAGAAGGAAACACTGGTTATGGAAATACATTGTGTATACTAGTTCATGGCTGAATCTGAGACAAATTACCAAGGGAAAAAAGGAAGAGCACTGAGTGACTGAATGCAGATAAGGAGGAGTTGAGAGTGAATGTTGGGATCCTTGGGAATCCTGCTGTCATGGATTATAAAGAGAAAGCTGTTCACTGGTGATGAAGAGGAGTTTTAAATTTTTTATTATTGTTGATTTTAGAGAGAGGAAAGGGAGAGAGAAACATCGATCAGTTACCTCCCACATGCGCCCTGACTGGAGACTGAACCCACAGCCTGGGTATGTGCCCTGACCAGGAGTCGAACCTGCCGCCTTTTGGTGCACAGGACGATGCTCCAACCAGCCGAGCCGCTGAATTGTTGACATTGAAATTTCAGATGTGGGAAAGATGCCAAGTAGGCAATGTGAAGTTGTGTCTGGAGAGACAAGGTCTGAATTGACTGACCTAGCTAGCCTATACTTAGCAAACAGTATTCATTGTGTCGTCCAGACACCACCAAAGTGTAATTAAAATTTGAGATGATTGAAATGGGTTTACTGTCATAAGATTTAAAGTTTTAAAACTCAGTAATTAAGTTTTCTTTCACTTAATTGCTTTACATTTTCCTCAGGTAAGATACTTGGAATCCCTTGGTTCTTGGAAATTTGTACTATGACCTTCTAAACACAGTTAAGTGTATTTAGTAATGTTTGTTTTTATCAGGTGATTTTAAATAATTCTTAAATTATTTAAAGAATAATCCACATTTTTCCTTTTATACCCAGGAACCTTTTGAGGATGGCTTTGCAAATGGGGAAGAAAGTACTCCAACCAGAGACGCTGTGGTCACATATACGGCGGAAAGTAAAGGAGTTGTGAAGTTTGGATGGATCAAGGGTGTATTAGTATGTACATACAAACTTAATTTTAGAGTTGTAACATTTCTGTTTTTTATAAAATCTTCCTAATATTCTCATCCATTCTTAAGAACTTTTTTCTTTTTTCTGAACTTTTTGACCTGAGTGTTATAGAAGACCAAATTAATAACTTGTACCTCCTTTCCTGTGCATATTAAATTCAGTATGGGAACTGTATTTTTAATTTATTCATATTATACTTGATGACCCCTAAACTGTATTTTATTGCCTCTTGTAAATTTCCCATACTCTCACTTCTCAGTAATTAAGTATGAAGCTGCTAAATTAATGGGAGCATCAGAATCAAGAAAGCTGAGCAGGCAACAGAGCTGATATATGCCTGTTTCCTTTTCTGCTACACCATTATCTTTTGATGAGAAATGTGTAGAAGTTACAGGGGAAAGAATAAAGGAAAGTCCTTTTCTTAAGTGTTGAGGTCACTTCAATAGACAGTTTTTGGTGATTGAGGTTCAGATTTACTTCTGTTTTTCCGTGTTTGAATAGGCACTAAGGATCCGACTAGAGTAGACAAGCTAAAATGTCCTCATTGGGTCTTTTAAAACACTTAATTGGAAATGTATTGACATGTAGGGGAGAAGCAGAGGGAAAATCCCAGTTCCTGGTGGTAATTTTATTGCCTAGTCAATAGAGTGAATGGGAAGCTCCAGATAGTTTAGTTTGCCTATTCTTAGATTTTAGTATTTTAGAAGACTATGTTCTATGTATGAGCATAATAAACAAAGTAAAAGTAAATTGGGGAAACTGTCTCATAAATAGTTAGGGTTTTTGAAAGATAGGTGAACAATTGGCATTTCGTGTTGACAAATATTATGTAAAACTTAAATCTCTTGTAGAAATCATAAAATGAGGATGTTATAAAAAAAACAGAAACCCAAAATTAAGCTTATGTGCATTGATAAAGGGAAATATGAACTACTTTTTTTAAGGGTTGGAGTCTACCTTCTTCAGATGATTGTGATGGGCATGCCTGTGTATCGGTTAATACACGTAGTCACATATTATACTGTACTTATACTCACATTAGCTCACATTTAAGCTCTCAGTAAGCTTTTTAAAAAAACTGTTAAGGGTGGGATAAGAGTTATATTTAAAATGACTCTCTAGTTTTAAATGTAGTTATCCTACTTTTGGCTAATTTGGCATTTATTGCTGTGTTATATTTGATTACTTTTTTTTCATCTGTGAATTGGCCTTTTTTCCTTTCCCAGGTACGTTGTATGTTAAACATTTGGGGTGTGATGCTCTTCATTAGATTATCGTGGATTGTAGGTCAAGCTGGAATAGGTAAGTGAAGCTGCATCCTGCTTGGTTCACTTGAGAATGAATAAACAAAAGTAGCTGTGCACGTGTCACGGCTCTGAACCTCATAGAATACGAGCAATTGGAATCATTCTAAGCTTTGTCCCCCCTTCTATAAGATTATTGTTTTAATGTTACTTTTTTCTTAATTCTCATTTAATTTTTCTAAAATGGGATAAGAATAAGGTAATTATGGAATTCAGTATACTTGGACTAACCAGTTCTAAATATGACAGGCTTAAATAACAGTGCAGGTATTCTCAGTCTCTTTTTTTCTTTTCTACAGGTCTGTCGGTCCTCGTAATAATGATGGCTACTGTCGTGACAACTATCACAGGATTGTCTACTTCAGCAATAGCTACTAATGGATTTGTACGAGGAGGTAAATTATCACTGTCATCAGATTACTGTTACTAAAAAAATGATATTTAAATATTATTTTACCTTTAAAAAGCAACATATTGGTCTATATAGACAAGAAAGTTGCTACTAAGCACTTTCAAACTAGTGTATTTGAATATAAAATTTTATCGTGACCCATGTGTACACAACATGCATGCTTTAAGTTATTTAGGGTGTTAGATATATTTAGTGGCAAGAATGGGGCTTTTAGCTGGGTTTCTTCTCCACTAGGCTGCCCCTTGTTGCCTCATCCTAGGCTTTAGTCTTTGGAACAATAGGGCTGAAGGATCGTCCTGCACGTGGTCTGTAGTACACAGGTGTAACCTCACTCCTTCTCAATGAGGGAAACTTAGGCACAGTACTTTCCCCATTACCTAACAACCTTTGTGTGTTATACCTGGGACCCTAAATTCACACCCTCAACTCTAGCTGTATTCTGGGGTGCCTGAGGCCTGTTTCATTGGCATTCACAAGATCTGCCTACTAAGACTTTACCTTCCCTGAGAAGAACACCCAGGAGACCAGGAGAGTGGCCACAGGACCTCTATGAATAAGAAGAAAGAATTGCATTTTCCAAATAACTCATCATTCAGCTAGAGAAAGGAGAAGAAATGTGTACCAGCTTCTATAAAGTCATCGTAGCAGATCACCTGAGAAAAATATCAACCTGTTCCATCTGCCTCCATTATTTTTCAGATCTGTGTTGGGCATTATATACACATAATTTCTGATTTATCTGCATCCGTTTTTTAGAGAGAGGGAGAGAGACCCAGATTGAGCATTTCTTTTTCCCCCATTATCTTCATATTTCTTATATTCCAAAAGATTTAGATCACTGTGGTCCTTGGGGAAACTGGTAGCTCACATCAATGTGATTGTGATGCCCTGGCCAATGTTGCTCAGTGGTTAAAGCATTGGCTTGCACACCAGAGGGTCGCAAGGTCAATTCTGAGGGCAAGGGCATGTATCTGGGTTGCAGGTCTGATCCCCGCCCCCTCCATTCCACTCTTTCTAAAAATCAATGGAAAAAATACCCTCACTCGTTGGGTGAGGGTAAAAATATGTATGATTATGACTGTGCTGAACATGCATCAATCTCTGTGGAAGTTTCACGTGTACGTGAGTCTGGACTGAGTGATGTTGGGGTGGAAGATGTGGGTATATCCACAGAGCTATCAGACAACATTGAAAGTTGCTTTTTGGCTTCTTGTGGACTAGGTGCCCCATGCTTCATTTCTAAGCAGAAGGAGAAAGGGAATGGGGTGTCAGGCTTTTTGAGGGCATCAGGATATCATCAAAGGATTTCTCCTTATCTTCAGTCCTTCGAATCTAGGCTGTGACCCTCAAGGGGAATGCGGCAAGAAGCCACTGGCAGCATGAACCCCAGACTGTTCTCTCTGTGAATCCAAACTTATGGGAAGTATAGATTCTCCTGCATTGTGACTAAAAACCCATTTCAATCTTTTAATACTACCAACAGTATTCATATATATTCACAAATATATCTCAGAGACTGCCTAGTCCTCTGACCTGGGATACTAAGGAAGTATGAGAATGTGGAGTGCATGAAGACACTTCCCAGCAGATTACCATATGTTGCAGTTTTGCCTGAGTTCCCTCAAATTGATAGAATCAGCTCACAAGGAAGAAACTACAGGGAAAAGCCCATTGGATCATACAATTCTGAATTCTTCTGTTATCAGATATTCATACAATGAGAAAGTAAACATATTTGTTGAAATAATGAAACCAATAGAGGAAAAAGGAGAAAGGATTAATTTAAAGAAATAACCAAATACTGTGCAGCTTTGTTAGAAGGCACATGACTGATCCTTTACAGAATATAAATGAGCTGCATCATCTACACTGAACGTTTCCTGGAGATCATTTCCATGAATGTGAGCCCCTTTTGCCTTCCCTGTTATCTGCTTCATGGACTTGAAGACCCCTAACAGGATTTATTGGTTTTGAGAAAACAGTATTTTCCACATGGGAGAAAGTAAACACAGGCATAAAACTGATGAGATTACATTGTATCCTGTATTCATGATTCTAAATTGAAAGCATCAGGTCAGTATGACTCATAGGTTTTTATCTCAAAAGTACACATTTCTTAGCTCTATTCACAAAAAGCACCTATAACAAATGATCAATCCAGTAACAATGAGCACCCCTAGTGCCCATTTTGTGTATTTCTATTCAGAGGAACCAGGGAACTTCGAGAAAAGATTGATTCCAGATCTGGGCCTGAAATGTACTAGAGGAGTCTAGACATCATTTCACATTCAAAAGTAAGGAAGGTAATAAAGGCTACTAGTTTCATGTCATAAGAATGCAGGAGCCAACTTGAAGAAGCTTAAGTATTGACTGAAGTTTGCATAGTTTGAACAGGCAATACTACTACTAATAATAACTGATTTGGATGAAAATATATAAAATCCGTAAGTTCACAAACACAACAAAAAAATCTTTTTTCACCTTTGAAGAATGTTATGAAATTGATAAAGAATCTAATGTTGAATAAAGCTTTCATGAATGAAAGTTTCCTTACCTGAACTCAATGTAACCAAGAAATTAATAAAATAGAGTTTTTCTTTAGATAATCTATATAATAAGTGAAGAAGGAAAGAGAATTAGAACATTCCAACTTTGTAAATCCTTTATTCAGTAAGAATACCTGTGAAGTATTGTTTCCTAACAAACTAAATCTGAATTGCGTCATGCCAGGAATCATTTTATAGAATATGCATGCAGGAGAGAGAGGAGCTTATTAAATGATACTATAGACAACAACAGCAAATTCCAGACTGGGATTCTCCCTGGAACAAGAAATTTTTATTCAACAAAATTTTCCAAGGAGCAAAAGAGATACAGAATTATAGTTGAAAACAAAATTTAAGAGACGTGGTGTGTAAGTGTGACTTTGTTTGCTGTTCTTAACAATAAACTATGTTTTAGTAGGGAGGGACCAAAATGTCTGGATTGCATCTCTTCTAGCTCAACTAGTGAGGACTTGACCAACTGCTTCCTTATTGAAAGGGCTACACAGAGAGGCAAGTAATGGAACCAGAGCTGTGCAGAGGATGGGCTGCCAAAGGCTTAGATTGGAGAAATGGAGGGATGCTATGGGAATAGTGGTGTCTGGGGACCCCTGACAGGATTGACTTTGGTTTCCTGAGATCCATTTTAATTTTCTACGAACTGAAAGTTAAGGGAATTAATTGGGAAGTATTTTACCTAAAATTTTGCTTAAAGGTTTGCAGTTACTCTGTTTAGTAATTTCAATTTGAAAACTTTTATGTAGTTACCATAACTTTTAAACCTATGTAGTTATCTTATCAATAGAATTATTTTGAGGTAGTGCTTGATAGTTTATTTATCTTGATTCTTAACTGAATTACATCATTTATCTATATTTTATTAATATTGACTAATATTTTATTCTTGTTTCATAAGGTGAAATGTATACTTTTCCTAGTGTTACATGCTTTTTGCTAGAGGAGAAATTTAATATTACTAAGTAACCTTAAATTGGCTTTAACAGTATCTTTTAGAGATTAAACAGATACCAATCTAGAAAAGTGTAGGTTGATTTCCTAGACAGAAAGCCCAAGGACCCTCTTCTCCCCCCTTGCGTCTGCAGTGGAAGTAGTTTTTTAGAATATGAACTTCTTGTAAACATGTAATAATGTCCAGTTATGAAGTCTAGGATGAGAGTAATATGGAAACATTCAGTGTTTCTGGAAAAAAAAAAAAAAAAGAGTCAAACCTTAGAAAATAAAAGCTGCTTAAGTTAGTTTCAAGTGTGATTAGATTTTAGTAATGATTTTTTGGGAACTGTTTAAAGTTACTAGCAGCAGGTTAGTGAATCATTCCCTCAGTTCTCTGTCTCCAAAGTGTAAGAATAGCAGTGACAAGTAACACCTTACCTTCATCTCTGCCAGAGTCCCTGCCCTAATAGACAGTTATGTTCCAAAGATTATTGCAGCCTGGTAGGAGCTCAGAGCTCTTTCCTGTTCTGCAAATCCTGTCAGTCTTTTTGAGAGTTTGGATTTGACAGAATTTACTTGGGCCATGGGCAACGGGTTCTACGAAGTAGCTGATCCTGGCCAGCAGCCACTTTAATTTAGACCTGCATTTCCTAGATTCACAGAGCAGAGTTCTCCCATCCTCGATTAGTCTGTTATATGGACTCACTTATGAAATAGGACAACCACAGGCAGAAGATGAAAAAGTGTAAGTTCTAGTTTTTGAATCATATTGTATTATATGAACTGAGCAATAGAAGGGAAAAAGTTCCTCAACTACTTTTTGTTTCAGAGCATTATGTTAAAAGCAAAAGTCAGTACACTTTCAAATAAAAACCCAGGTTATACCAAATTTCAGACAGGTAGTTTTGAGAATATAAATATAAACCTGCTTATTCTGTGACTAAGTTGAAGTTTTAAATTACTTGTATTTCAGTCAGTCCGAAGGTAACTGAACACTTTGTGGCAGGCACTGGGTTTATAACAATGAAAATCAGACAACATCCTATTTTCTTGGAGTTTATGTTCAGATAATAGGGGCAATTATTTTTGAGACCCAATTGCTAGGCATGATACCATGGTCTTGACATATATTACTTGATTTAATGCAGTATTGCTGTTGGTCTCATTTATGCACATTATACTGGTCAGTCATTTAAAAATATCTGAAATACGTCAGAATTATCTCTATATGCTTATATCTTTTTATTTTCTCGAAATAACTGAAGAACACCTCACTTTTGTGAGGTAAAGCCGGAAAAACTAATATTTTTCACATGTTGTAAGTGGCAGAAAATGCTTTCTGCATTGGTATAATCAGATTATCATTGACTGTCAAATTTTTTGTTTAGTCTGTGTTATCTGCACCAATAGAAATGACTACCTTCTAATGTAATTGTTCCCTTTCCCCTTCTCATAAATACCAATTTCCTTTGTTTCCTAATTGGAACATTTTGGGTTTCTGCCTGAATCAGTGTGTACTGAATAGCTATTCTTATTGATCTCAACTAGTGTTCAGTTGCATCTCACTTTGAAAGGCCTTTTATTTTTTGGTTAACAAGTCCATTATATAGCTTTATGAATTTCTATCATCACCAAGCAAGGAGTTGTAGGTTAGAATTCAGCTTCATATTTCTTTCCTTTCATTGCTAATTTCTTTCAAATTACAGCTTTTCAGATCAGTGAGTGTTTGAAGCAGCTGTAAAAAGCAGTTCTGTCACAGTTGATTATGAGATTTTATTAGACTTAAATATAACATTATGTTTTCAGTTCAGTAAAATACTATTTCTGTGCCATAAGTAGCTCAGATGTGAATCTGGCAGGTCATTGTAAATAATTTTTGAGTTGAGTTTTTTCTTTGATTCACATGGAAACATTTCAGTTTTGCCACTCTTTAATGATTAAAATTACTTCACTTGGTTCCCAAAATTGTCTGCTGCAGAATTAGAGCTACATGTTTCTGTATTTATTTATGTATTTATGTATTTATTATTGGGGTGGCATTGGTTAATAAAATTACATCAGTTTCAGATGTACAATTCTATATGATACATCATCTGTATATTATTGTATGTTCACCACCCCAAGCTATATGTCCCTACTTTTAAAGTTTAACTTATTCAGGTGGTCAGTTACAACAATAATATAGCACCCAATCCTAATTTGAAGATTCCATGTTTGTTACTTTGCCTTTACCTACTTGACTTTATAATGGCAACAGAAGAGAAAATTCGCCAAACATTAACAGGCAAACAAACTCCTCATTGTGCATTTGTAAACCAGGTGTTAGAATGTATTTCCTAGAACAATAACCAAAATGTATATGGCCTGTATTTTCATTCCCTTAATGGTGTCATTTGAAGAGCAGTACTTAGTTTGGATTACATCTAATTTGTCACTTTTTCTTTTTTGGATTATGCTTTTGGTATTGTATTTGAGAAATCTTGCCTAGCCGAAGGTCCCAAGGATTTTCTTCTAGAAGTTTTATAACTTTAGGTTTTCAGTTACAGCTTTCATAATTTTTAGTTAATGTTTGTATATGGTACAAAATAGGAATCAAGATTCATATGGATATCCAGTTACTCCAGCACAATTTGTTAAAAGATTATCCCTTTTCTATTTAATTTGCTTTAGCACTTTTGTAAAAAATTAATTGACCCTAATTACCCAAAGCCATCTATAGATTCAGTGCAATTCCTATCAAAATTCCAATGGCATTTTTCACAGAAATAGAAAAAAATTATCCTAAAATTAATATGGAACCACAAAAGACCCCGAAATGGTAAAGCAATGTTTGAGAAAGAACAAGCTGGAGGCATCGCACTTCTGATTTCAGACTATTACATAGGCATCTAATATAGGACAAGGGAGCCCAGGATAGGCAATGGGAAAATGATAGTCTCTTCCTCAAATGGTGTTAGGAAAACTATATTCTCATGTGAAAGAATGAATGTGGACCCCTTTCTTACACCACTCATAAAAATTAACTCAAAAGGCACTAAGGGCTTAAATGTAAAACCTGAAATCATAAACTTTCCAGAAAACACAAGGAAAAAGCTCCTTGCCACTGGTGTTAACAGTGATTTTTTTTTTTTTTTTTGATATGACACCAAAAGCACAGGAACAAAAGCAAAAATTGACAAAAGGGACTACATCGAACTAAAAAGTTTTTGCATAGTAAAAGAAACAACAAAATGAAAAGACAGCCTAAAGGATGGAAAACAATAATTGCAAACCACTGTCTGATAAAGGTTTAATATCCAAAATACATAAGGGGCTCATATAATTCAATAGCAAAAATAACTCAAGCTGATTAAAAAGTGGGTAGAAGACCCGAATAGACATTTTTCCAAAGAAAACAGCAAGTTCATGAAAAAATGTTCAACATGACTAATCATCAGGGGAATGCAAATCAAAACCACAGCCAGTTACCACCTCATACCTGTTAGAATGGCTGTCATCAAAGACTCGATAATAAGAGCTGGTGAGGATGTGGGGAAAATGGAACCCTGTGCATTGTTGGGAATGTAAAGTGCTATAGCCACTATGAGAAAGTATGGAGGCACCTCAAAAAATAGAACTACCACATGATGCAGCAACCCCACTTCTGGTATTTATTCAAAGGAAATGAAAGCATTGTTTGGTGGAGATGTTTGCACCTCTGTGCTCACTGCAGCATTATTCACAATAGCCAGGACACGGGAATACCCTAAGTGCCCACGGACGGATGGATGCATGAAGGAAATGTGATACACATGCACACACAGACAGAGGGCTATTATTCAACCATAAAAAATTTTGCCATTTGCAACAACATGGATGAACCTTGAGGGTATTATGCTAAATGAAGTAAGTCAGAGAAAGACAAATTCTGTATAATCTCACTTGTATGTGGAAACTAAAAAAGCTGAACTCATAGAAACAGAGTAGAAAAGTGGTTACCAGGGACTAGGGGTTGAGAGAAATAATGAGCTGTTGGTCAAACTGTACAGACTTCCATTTATAAGAAAAATAAATTCTGGGAATCTAGAATGTAGCATAGTAAATAATACTCTTATGTACTTGAAAGTTGTTAAGAGAGATCTTAAATATTCTTATTGTAACAACAACAAAACGGTTATTGTGTGAGGTTAAGGATATGTTAACTAACCTTACTTCTGGCAAACATTTCACAATATATACACATATGAAATCATCACAGTGTACATCTTAAACTCACACAATGCCATATGTCAATTATACATATTAATAAAGCTGGGGGGAAAATAATGGACCCTACATGTGTGATTCTATTTCTGGAATCTATGCTGGTCCGCTATCTATGGCTCTATCCTCAGTCCAATATCATGCTATCTTGGTAGTGTAGCTTTATAGTAATTCTTGAACCTCGGTAGTGTGAGTCTTCCAGCTGTTATTTTTCAAAACTGTTTTGGCTGTTCTGCCTTTTCATACAAATCTTAGAAACACCTTGTCAATTTCTGTGAAATATCCTGGTGGGATTTTGATTGGAATTGTGTTGAATCTAGAGATCAATTTGGAGAGAATAAACATCTTAACTGTGTCTTCCATTCCATAAACATGGTATATCTATTTAGTTCTTTGGGTTTAAGCTGTCAGTACACAGATCTTGCAAATATTTTTTAGATTTAGACTTAAGTGTTTCCTGTCTTTGAATACTATTGTATTAGCATTCTTCAGAGAAACAGAAGTGTGTGTGTGTGTGTTTATATGCGTGAAAATTTATTTGAAGGAATTGATTCTCATGATTATAGAGGCTGGGAAGTCCAAAACCTGTAGTGGGCTTGCAGTCTGTAGACCCAGAGAAGAGCTGATGGTGTAGTTCGAGTCTGAAGGTCACCTGCTGCAGAATTCCCTCTTTCTTGGGGAAGGTCTTTGTTCTTTTCAGGCCTTCAGTTGAATCTGGAGGCGGACATTTAAAATACTAACTATAGTACTGTCATTTTTTTAATTTTCTTTAGGAGGAGCGTATTATTTAATATCTAGAAGTCTAGGGCCAGAATTTGGTGGTGCAATTGGCCTGATCTTCGCTTTTGCCAATGCTGTTGCAGTTGCTATGTATGTGGTTGGATTTGCAGAAACTGTGGTGGAGTTGCTTAAGGTAATTCACCTTTCTTCTAGTCATTGGTTTCCCATACCTTTATTGAGGGTTTGCTTATGTGCCACTCACCATGTTAAATACTAGGAACACAGTAATGAACACAAAACTCATCCTTCAAGAAATTCTGTGTGTGAGGTAGACAAAGGAAAATTGTTACAGAATATCAGAAGTGGGAAACTGTAGGAGACCTTGGCAACACCAAGGGGGATCCCTTAATGTAGCACCCAGAAATGGGGGTGGCAGAGGAGTGTCAAGGAAGGGAGTCTGGATTTCGGCAGGCAGATAGGAGAGGTGGGATGTGGTATGAGGGGAGCAGGGAAGAAAAGGAAACAGGCCTAGAAAGGATGGAGCACGGTGTGTTAAAAAAACACAAACTAAATATTTCTGTGTGACTAGAGTGCAAAGTGGCAAGAGATTTAAGACTAGAGAGAGGAAAAAGTATCAAGTCAGGAAGGGTCTTGTTTGTTAATAAAGTAGGTCTTATCTTGATTGGAGTTGGGGACCATGACACGGTCAGATTATTATGACATGACCTAAAGAAATACCTGACCACAGTGTAGAGAATGGATTGAGGGAATCACATGGGAGATGGAGAACATTTAATAGGTTGTCATAGCTATCCTGGGAGAGGAGATGTGGCTTACATTATAACAATGATGAGTGGGGCTGGAGAGGTGTAGGTGAATTTGACAGATTTTAAAATTGTTGAATAAGTGGACTGATGATTAATGGGATGAGGGAAATTAAAGAGAGAACTTGTTTGAAAAGAGTCATTGGGGTGTGTATAGTTAAAGCAGTACAAGAGAAATAGGATTCAATATTGTTAAATGAGAAGAACCTCAACTGACACAGTTCATGTTAGGTGGTTGTCACTCTTCTTCTGCAGTAGTATGTGGTACATTAGGAAGTGTAAACTCTGAAAACAACTGACACACTGGCATTGCTCTCATTTGTGTGGGCCAAAAGGATGAAGGAAGGGCTGTAAGCAAGCAAGCAATATAGCCCATTAGAGTTCACGTTCTTTCATTGTTTACTATATGTTTCTAAATTCATTGATAGTAAACTAAAATACTTTCTTGCTCATGGAATGGGAGCAGTGTATTTTGGACAACTGCAGGAAAGTGTATTCATCTCTTTTCGTTACGCAAACTAAAAGGCCACTTAAAGCCTGGGTTCACTAATCACAATGAATGCAAAATACTTCTGCTATGTAACTTAAGAAGATCTTAACTATTGGTACTAGTTAGCCATACTATGTTTTTTATTTACTTGTTAGCAGTTCCCTTTTTGATATACTGCATCTGATTAAATATAGCATTATTAACTTGACCATATTTTTGATGTCATCACATACCTGAATGACACATCAGTATTAAATAGTTACTCCTTTTTCATAGGTCTTCCCTATTCATTTGTTAAATAGGTATTTATTCAACTTCTACATGTAAGGCACTGTGATATATTTAAAATGTTTCAAAAGAATTAAAGACTATAAAATAACATTTCTTATTACATTTATAATTTTCTTTTTCTAGGAACATTCCATTCTTATGATAGATGAAATTAATGATATACGAATTATTGGAGCCATTACAGTGGTGATTCTTTTAGGTATCTCAGTAGCTGGAATGGAGTGGGAAGCAAAAGTAAGTAATGATATCATTGGAATATTGGTAAATATTTAATATATGAGCTTTTACAGCTTTTCTTTTAGGAATGCTATAAAGTGTGGTAACATCTTTAGATTTTGAAAGTTCCTAAGTAACCATTTTCAGAGAAATTTATGTATAAGGTTTTCTAATTGACAAGACGGGGAATATTTGGAGATAGCCATCAGTCTAGGATTCAGTTAAATACAGTACTTTTTAAAATTTTTACTTCCTACCTCCCCTCCCAGCCCCTATTCTATGATTTACATTATATAGAAAAGCTCAGGTCAGTATATTAAGTAGCCTGAATTATTGGCTTTGTGATTTATTTAAAAGTTCAGTTTCAAAAATAAACACAGGGACAGTAAATTTCAAGTTAGTGCCACTAAGGGTTAGAGAAGCTAATCTTGCTCCTTGCTGTTGAAATCTCAGAAATCATGACTACCCAAGCTAGTACCATTGTATCTAGGGAAAACTGAATTCACATGGTAACACATACCCAGAGCACCCAAATACATGTATTTCTGTATCTTTGAGGGAATATGCCACAGTACAGCTCTTGTTTCCTGAATAATGCATATTCACAAAGATGCTGTTGAGCAACTAAAAGTTGTTTTAGGTTTCTTTGTGCTTACTTTATACATTGTATAAAATCACATATTTGTGCTATATATGAGCTATGATAATATTTACTATATCAAAAATTAGGAAAGTCTGAAAGAATAATTTTTCAATGGTAGGTAAGTCATAAGTATGAAGTTAAATCATTTACTGATACATTTAACAAATTGACATGACTGAAAAGAATTTCATACTACCTGGGACATTACCATATAAGTGGTCCTTATGCCCACAGATGACACAGTTTTCCAAGAGTATTTGCTCAGTTTTGTTGGGAGGTTAAGAGTGGATGAGGAGAGGCAGGGGTGGGCAAACGGGTGAAGGGAGGTCAAAAGGTATAGACTTGCAGTGGTAAGTCAGTCATGGGATGTAATGTTCAGCCATGGTGAGAATAGTTAATAACACTGCATTGTATATTTGAAAGTTGTTAAAACAGTGTATCTTAAAAGTTCTTATCACAGAAAAAAAAAAATTATAATTGTATAGTGATGCATGTAACTAGACTTTTTGTGGTGATCATTTCCCAATACACAGAAATATCAAATCATTATGTTGTACACCTAAAACTAATATGTTATATATCAGTTATATCCAGTAAAACAAACTTATTTTATTAAAATAAAAAAGAATGAAAGAGAGATGGTAGTTCTCATAGATTGTTGTCCTATTGCTACTTGAATTCCCCTCCCAGGGTTGTCTTCTTTTTATACTTTTCCTTCTTTTCATATAGTTGTCACACATTCAACATTGTGTTTGGACTTGGTATGAAACTTGGGTTTGTAGCAAATATGTTGTACTGTATGGTGGAGGGGACAGGAAAGAATGATGTATAGGATGAAAAGCGTACGGTGTTTTGGAATTTATAGTGCTTTATGATTTGTGGGAAGGCATGCACATTGTTAACTCATTTCAAAACTATATGGCATCACCCTACTTTTGCCACCCATTTTCTTATGGAGTGCCTACTCTGTGCTTGGCATTGTTTGAGGCTCTGAGGAAACAGGACGGAAATCCTTTCCCCCATGGAAATTATATTCTAGTGGGACTGAATCAATGTACAACATAAGAGATTTGATTTTGATTTTTAATGTTTAACATTTCAGGCTCAGATTGTTCTTTTGGTGATTCTGCTACTTGCTATTGCTGATTTCGTCATAGGAACATTTATCCCATTGGAGAGCAAGAAACCCAAAGGTTTCTTTGGTTATAAATGTAAGTAAAAAAGATAGAATATTTTTAAAGGTGCATATTATATCATTCTATTAGTGAATAAATTGAGTAATTTTAGATATCTTGTAATGTAATTGAGTTTGGTGTGGTGACTCACTGACAATTCAGTTTAGTTTTGTATCCTTCATGTGTGTTACAATTAGAGCAAAAAAAAATCACTTTTATTTATCTTTCCTCTTTATTAGTAACAAATGGTAATAGAATGTAAGAAAATATCAGTGCTACTGAAAAAAGGTACTTTAATTCTCTACTAATTTTAGGACTTTGTCAGTGAAAGGTAACTTTTTCATTCTTTTAGTTGTATTTATGCACAACAGTCTAAAAATGTCTGAGACTAAAAGTAACGAGAAATATTAGTTTCTGTGTAATTGCAGTTTTAAAGTTTTTCTGCAGTTTGCATTATTGTGTGAGAATTTGCCAGTTTTTATCTTCTGTAACCCTTTTCATTCTGCATCTAATTGTCACTGCTGGTGAAATTTACTTGTTGTTTCCTAAGGGGTCTATCTGTACCTTCTACCCCACCCTCAGCCCCCACCCTCTCCCCACTGAACTCAGCAACTCTGAACTGTCTGCACACAACAAAATGAAAGTGGGAAAGAATAGTTGCAATAGGATCAGAGAGGCTTATCACTTATGGTAATAGTTCTGTCTGTCTTCAACTGACACAAACTCCTTGATTTGAAACTCTAGAGGAAAAGGCCTGGTTCTCCTGAACCCTGTTGCTGACTGGTAACAATGTACAGTCCTTGGATCATGTGAATAGAATTGGTTTGGCCTGTAAGAGACCCTGGCTTAGCTGGCTGAGCAGTTCTCTGGTTTGAATTATTTCAAGGTACTTACCTTACCCAAGGACACCCACCTATTATTTGTGCCTACTGATCCTGGGTTGATAGTGTGGTTTTTGTTCTGATTACTAGTGCTCATGCCTCATTCTAAACTGGGCTTTAAATTCTTGATTTCCTGGTTGGGGGAAGAGGTGTCTGCTAGGCATGCCAGAAGTAAAAGTTTGTAACATCAGTTAGGTAGAAAATTTTCTGTATTTTGTGCTCTCATAAATTATATTTGTGACATTTCTTCTAATTTATGAATAATTTTTACTTCAGTTTTTTTTTTACATTATACATGTTTCTGAACATTTGTTTTTGTCACTTTACTAGTAATAGTGAACAATTATTTCTAAAAAGATTCCTAATAATTAATATATTTTCTTCCTATGACTTTAATTCATTTAAAGATATCTGCTAGGCTACAACTTTCATTTCCTTTTTTTCAGATCCTTGGCAGCTTATAAAAGTATCACCTAGTTAGCTAGCACAGTAATAATTTATATTGTATTTAAGTAGCACATCTGGGCCTATCTCAGTCTGAGGTAAATAAATCTTTGGAATGGGACTTCTCTTTTGGTTGACACTGTTTGGTTCTGCTCTCATTATACTAAGGCAGTATCGGTCGTAAGCAGGTTACATTGATAAACTTGTCAGTTCAATTGACTACCTAATAGGGGGATTCATTTTTCCTCTATTTTCTTTCTGATATGAGAAGTAGCTGTCTTTCATCAAAGACCAGTGCCTCTGCTGTATTCTGGATCCTATTCTTTTACTTTCTCAAAGGCATTTATCCTTTCATAATCGACTTGCTTCCCTGCATCAGCTCTCACCTCTGTCTGAGCCTGTGAGCTTGCTCTAGTAATTCCCATCCTTGAGATGCTGTCTTTTATTCTCCAGTTACCGCCTCATTTTCTAGTTAGTTCCTTTCATAGACAGATTTCTCAAATCCATACCTCTCACTTATTCCTTATTTCCGAATAACTTCAAACTTACAGAGAACTTCAAAAATTGATACAATAAATTCTTTACACCCTTCACCCAGATTCACCAATGATGAATGCTTTTATATTCTACCTCTTGCCACATCTGTTTTATCACTACACACATACCTAATTATTGTTACTATGATTGCTAACCCTTTTGAGAGAAGTTGCAGAAATCATGACTTGCCTCTAAACATTGTACCTAAGCATGTATCTACTAAGGAAAAGGACAATTCAGGAAGGTTAACTTTGGCACAATGCTAGTATCTAATATATGGTTTGTATACAAATCTTTCCAGTTGTTTCTATAAAAATCTTTACAGTAACTTTTTTTTCCTGTTCCAGGATCCTGTTCACGGTCATGTATTTCATTCAGCTGTCATCTCTCTTCACTCCTCTTTTAAATGGTTCTTTACATAATTTTCAATCTCCTTGAATTTGAAATAGCTCCTTAGCCTTTGCTTTTCAGGATATTGACATTTCTCAAGATTACAGGCCATTTGTTTTGTAGAACTCCCTCCAGTTGGGTTCATCTGATTTATTTCCATAGATTTGGATTTTGCCAGGAACACTGCATGAATATATGTCCTCCCCAGTGTATCACATTAGAAGACTCACATGATGTCATTTCCCCCTGTAAGTGATGGTTTTAACCTTGATGACTTAGAGTGGTACCTGAGGTTTCTTTATTGTGAGGTTACCATTTCCTTCTTTGCAATTAAGTAATAATTTGCAGATACTTGAAGACTGCATCGCCTATCTCCCATCATAATTTTATCAAATGTTTTTATTTCCTTCATTTTAAACCCTTCTCTGACTTGTTTGTCAAAGTGACGACCACATGGTGCTAAACCAGTGTGCAGTATTTTAGTCCTCTGCTTCTCAGCATCATCATACTCCGTTGTCCCATTCTCCTTGAAATACTTGTCGTTTTGTTTGCTGTCACACCGGTTACTATGTCTGTTACTCCTGTTGCCCCTTCTCTTCTTCCTGTCCTCTAAATGTCAGAGTTGCTTAGGTCTGGCCTCACTATATTCTTTCGTTTGGTGAGGTCTATTCTCATGACTCCAGATGCTATTGAGAGACTGACATGTTTCTATTCCTGGATTTCTCTTTAAACTCTGGACATACATAACTGCTTTTGATGTCTCTCCTACCTGATCCGTCTCAGACTTTTCCCTTTGAGCACAGTACACGAAGACGCCAGAATGTCCGTGTTCCATACCTGCGCCTATCCTTTCTCATCTTGCTCTAATCGGTGTATTCTTCCCCCTTGTAGGTTCAACCACTGGAGCAGCCTCCTGATTGGTCTTCCTGCTTCAGATGTTGATGCCTTTAGTCCATTGTCCATACCATGTTATTTTCATATTTCTAAGCCTACCTTGGCTTTTCATTATATTTAGGATAAAAATCTAAACTCCTTTAAAATTTTGCATGGTTTCACCCCCACTGATCTCACCAGCCTGGTTCGATCCTTCACCTTACTATGATAAGAGGTTTACATTCTTCTAATTTCTCAAAAGAGCTAAGCCTTTTTCCTACCACTTGGCCTTTATAAATGTCATTTCTTATTCCTGGTGTAATCTTTCCCCTAATCATCACCTGGATGATTCTTGCTCAGTAAAGTCTCCCTTTAAGTACTGTCTCCTTAGTTACAGCTCTTCAGCCTTCTGTAACCACAGGGAATTACTTTCTTTCTTTATCACAACACCTTGTTTCCATCAGCACACTGACTGCTATTCGTAATGACCTGTTTCTTTACTTACTGTGTAGCTCCTGATTGGGACTCTTAAGTTCCATAAAGATGGGAACAATATCTAGCTTCTTGCTTTTATATCTCTTGATATACTGGATGGCTTCAGTACGGGACCTGGCACATTGTAGATACTCACGATGGGTGGATGGATGAATAAATGACTGTTAATTGGTTTAGTGTCAAAATCTATCAGAATAGGTAGAAACGGTAGGACTAGTTGTAGCTTTCATTATTGTTGAAATGGAAGGGACCTATACCTAAGTTGCTTAAGGTAAAATTGTATGGAAGACCCAAAAATAGCCTCAAAAGTCAAACAAGTTACTACTAGGAAGTAGATAAAGTTGTACAGATAGTATTTAAGTTGGATGTTAAAAAACAAAACAAAAAGGTTCCAGATTAGTATGAAGTTGCTTTTGTTTTCCTACCTCCTTACTTATTTCTTTCACCTCTGAGATTGAGGGGTTTATCTACACTCTGATTTACATTTGGACTAGTGGTAACAATCAAGTTGGAGGCACTTGAAACTTGATAATTAAGGTACACAAAACAGTAGGGAATGCCCCAGGTCAAATCATTTTGGTTGTAAACTGTTCCCTCATATAAGAAAACAGGAATACCAATATGTGAATTAGGAAATACTCAAGTTTATCAGTTACTTCAACTGAAGGAATTTCAGGGATCATACATACCACTTACTCTTGACCTAAATTATGGTCTCATCTGCTATCTATTAATTGCCAAAAATATCTTGTTTTCTACAGCTGAAATATTTATTGAGAACTTTGGACCAGATTTTCGAGAGGAAGAGACTTTTTTTTCTGTCTTTGCCATCTTTTTTCCTGCTGCAACTGGTATTCTGGCTGGAGCAAATATCTCAGGTGATCTTGCAGTAAGTACTGTTTGACTTGTATTAAAAAGCACTTCATTGATGATACATTAAAAATGGTATACATATATTTTTAAAGGTAGACTTAAAAAAAAAATCTTCTTGTCTTCTAGGATCCTCAGTCAGCCATACCCAAAGGAACACTCTTAGCCATTTTAATTACTACGGTGGTTTACGTAGGAATTGCAGTATCTGTAGGTAAATAGCCTTACGTTTCTTTATTTGTTTCAGAAATTTCCTTGTGTACATACTATAAATAGTTATTTCATGACATTTTAAAATTTAGAAATATTTCAGTAAAAAAACGTGGTGTTGCACATATATATATATATTTTTTAATATACCTTTATTGATTTCAGAGAGGGGAAGGGAGAGGGAGAGATAGAAACATCAGTGATGAGAGAGTCATTGATCGGCTGCCTCCTGCATGCCTCCAACCAGGTATCGAGCCCGCAACCCAGGCATGTGCCCTGACCAGGAATCGAACCCCGCTTGACTGGATCCTAAGTCGATGCTCAACCGCTGAGCCACACCCGGCTGGGCAGTGTTGCATATTTTAATTAAAAAACAGTCTTAAGCAAACTAGTAGTGATTTTATAGACATTATCTAAACCACCAAATGCTCTATTGCTCCTCCTCCAGAATTTTAATTAATTATGTTAAGTTAGAAAATTATATAAAATTTTAATCTCAGACTCTTAAATTGCACTGAGATATATTTATAGAAAATACTTATATGTAAAAGTAAATGCATTTAACTCTCTGATTTTTACAGATTCTTGAATTTTTTGTTTATGGTAGTTATTTAATATTTTCTCATAATTTTATTAAATGAAGATTGTTTCAAGGCCATGAAGCGGTGCCTCACATTTTTTTTTAAACCATAAAAACTGATTTTGATGAACAGGATATATACTACATTGAATGAAAAAACTTACTAATGTCTTAATAAACTGAATGAAAATGCTATTTAACCTTTTTATTACACTTATGGACTCATAGCATTTTAGAACTTATAGGATATAAGTGGTCAACTAGTTTCTAAAATCACTTTTATAGATGGTGGAATTGAACCTTAGAGATTTCACTACCAAGAAAAGTGGTGCTTGCTTTAAGGAATTATTTTCATGGCAAAGCAAGTTTTGGTTTGTTTGATTAAATAAAGTCTTTAAAGGCTATTTATAATAGTAGGTTCTTTAACTAAACATTCTAGTCTAGAAAAAAATTTAATAACTACTGACATATAATTTGCATGCAGTGATTAATGTCTGGAATTTATTATAATTTCATGAACCTATATACTTTACCCAGGAAATATATTCTTGAAATGTAAGCATTGCTTTTAATGTATAAACTCTAATTCAGATTTTACAGTTAAATGTTTTAAGCATACTGCAAGAGTCAATCTTATTTTAATACCAATTTAAAGAATCACAAACTCCAAATTCATAGACTACAGAATAAGGTTTCCATAGTATTACAGTAAGAAGATTTCATTTTTGCTGTACATTTAGTCAGTCATTTTGGGGAAGTAATGACAGAACTGTTTTTACAAACTCTGCTGCTAATTTGTATAAATGTAATTTTGAAATTTCAGTAAATAAATTAGAGTTAGAAATGCTAATGATCAGTATTGTAGTGGACTAAATTAAAGTTTAAAAAAGGAACTGGACTTCAGTTAGCCTTAAAATCCACAGATAAATCTCATTTTTAAAAAACAAATGAACTATGTGCTATTTATAATCTTACCAAAATATTTTTTGTTCCCTTAAAAGTTTCTATGTAGCTTTCTTGTGTATTTTATACATAAGCTAAAGAAAATTTAGTTTTAATTTCACAAATGATATAACTTTTCTTTAAAAAAGAAAAGAAAGGAACTATGTGTAGTCTGTCCAGTTGTTGAAATATTCTCCCCTTCAAGTTTAATTTTCCTTTTATTATTTGCTATAATGCCTATGTTACCTTATATATGAGATAACAGTGTTAAAATGCTTCAGAAGTAATAATATATGAGGTCTAGGGAATGACGATTACTTACTGTACATCATATGTTATTTCAAATAATTGCTTTCTTCAAGAAAACTTTTGAAATGTTTGTTATGGGAGTTTTTGATTTTGCACAAAAGTAGAGAGCATTTTCTAATGAGCTGAATATATAACTGTCACCTAGCTTCAAAAAAGTTTTCAAGGATTATCAGTACATGGTTAATATTGTTCATCTAGACCCATACACTCTGTCCCATAGGTTATTTTTAAGCAAATCTCAGACACCATATATTTTCTTAATATCAGGATAGACTTATTTGAGACAAAGGCTTAAATAGAATTCTGATTCATTAATGTTCAAATTGTTTCCTGTAGAGAAGATATTAGCTGAAGTCTGATCTTTGGCAGGTTTCAAATATAAAATATCTGAAGTATAGGAAAATACTTCTGCCATTTGGAACTCTTTCAACACACGGTTTTTATATTTGCTTAAGGACATCTTGATCAAATAGACCAGGAAGTAGTTTTCCTAACACACCATTTATAAACAACTATAGTTTATAAGCTTGTTAAGTATATATGTGTAAATACTACTCTTTATAAGGTTCCATTTCACTAAAATATTGGGAACAATGATGCTTTCCAAATTCTGTTCCAAGTAAAGCTATCTTAACTGTAAATGCAGTGTATGCTAATATAAGCAAGTATATATGCAGTCAGTATCATAATTTCTTTATGGGTTTATGTAATTTGAAATGAATATAAATGTTAGCTCAATTATTTGTTCTCATTGTCACTTGTGCTTCAGGTTCTTGTGTTGTTCGGGATGCTACTGGGAACATTAACGACACTATTGTGACAGAGCTAACAAACTGTACTTCTGCAGCCTGCAAGTTAAACTTTGACTTTTCTTATTGTGAAAACAATCTTTGTTCCTATGGCTTAATAAACAACTTCCAGGTGAGCATCAGATTTATGTTATACACACATTCTATGTTTGTTTAGAGGTCAAGACTGCTATCAAATCTGACCATTCAGAATACAGCGGTAACTTAAAAAGGACTGTTCTTATGTTATTCCTAAATTTTTTTAAAGACTGTAGGTAACTATTTAGACAAACAGAAGAATATGAAAGGGTAAAATCTGAAGCCATTCAAGAGCAAAAGGACCCCCAAGGGTGACACTTAGAGTATCATATATGTGGCATACTGTTTCAGAGAGGAAGGAAGCATCAGAAGCATGTCACACATGGCCATGTTTGTTGGGTCTGTTTCTGGATTCTCTGTTTATCCGTTGATCTGTGTGTCTGTTCCTTCACTGACACCATACCTTCTTGATTACTGTAGTTTTGCTGGGATTTTAGTAGAAACTGCAGTAAACTTGTATATTGATTTAGGGAGAATTGACATGTTTACTAGGTTGAGTGTCCCAATCAATGAACACAGTATGCTTTTCTATTTACTTAGAATGCTAGGAGGAAAAGAACACAGAGATGTAGTAGATTCAGGAGACTAAAACAAAATATCATGTCGTAAATTTTTACAGTAGATGGTTCTACTAATTCAAAGTAAAAAATAAAAATTTTGCTTCTGGGTGTTTTTCCAATATTATGTAAACACATTAAGCAGAACAGTTGATGACTTAATGTATTTCAGAACAGTATAAATTTTATGTAGAATATGTAAATTTTATAACAAAATTTTGGAACTTAAAATTTTAATGGCATTTTTATTTTCTATTGTATAGTTTCAAGCAGTTGATTGTACTTTCAGTGGTTCTAAATATTGAACCCAATTATGTAACAGAAGTTTGTTTTTGAAAGTCACAAGACTAGGCAAAATCGTAGGAATGAAAGAAAGTATTCATGTCCAACTAACAATTCAGGCCAATTCTGACATTGATATTGTGTATGAAAGGCACAAATGTTGGTCTCTGCCCAGTGATTGAAATGCCAATCAGATTTCTGTGTTGCTGCCTTAAAATAGAAAAGTATGTTGTCTTTATCAAGTCTAGTATGGTCTCACTCAAGCGAAGAAGAGTTTTGTATATATAAAGCTGCTTTTCTAATTAATAGAAATGAGAGAGAGGGAAGAAGGGAGGGGGGAGAGGGATAGAGATTGCCTCCATCTGTTATGAGCCCCGACCACGATGGAACCCACAACCTAGGTATGTGCCCTGACCAAGAATCAAACCTGAGACCTTCTGGTGCATGGGACAATGCTCCAGCCAACTCAACCACACCGATCAGGGCTCAGTTTGGTACTGAGAAATTTCAAAGATGCAGAAAGAACAGTGCAATGAATACTTATGTTCCTACCCTTCACTTATATTTACTAGTTGTCAGTATTTTGCCCCATTTGCTTATCTTTGTATGTATATACTTTTTCTCCTCAAACATATAAGAATAAATTGTAGACATTACAACATGACAGTCACTTTGAAATATTTAAAACATTCTGTACAAGCACAGTACAATTATCCCACTCAAGCAATTTAATGTCAGTGAGATACTTTCATCTAAATACATATTCCATATTCATATTTCCCCGCTTGCCTCACAAATGTCCTTTATAGCTATTTTTCCCATATTCAGGATCCAGTCTGGGATCATGCATGCAGTTACTTACTGTGTTATTTTAACATCTCTTATTCTAGCAGAGTTCCCAGCTTTCCTATTTTAATCTTTCAGGATGCTGACATTTTGAAGAGTTAAGGCAAGTTGTTTTGCATTGTACCCCTCAGTCTGGATTTATCTAATTGTCTTATGATCTAAATGATCTATCCATTTTTTAAAAATCTTCATTATTGGGAAATGTTTGAACATGTACAAAGATAGGGAAAGCAAAACAAATAACAAAAAAACACCCAAAACATAACCACAATACCAATATACTATCTTAACATCCAAAAAAGAAACAGCCTTCCTGATGGTAGTGTATCACATCACCTTGAAATACTCTTGCCAGGAAATTTGTACTCCAGTCTGATTAACTGTTGAGATCTATGTAGCAGTTGACTGGAAATAAGAGGTGAGAAGAGCAGATTAAATGACACAGTCAGCAAAATCTAGAGTGGGACATTTTGTAGGAGAAATGACATAAAAATAATGTAAAGGAAAGGGTGAACCTGTAGATTTAAAAAGACTTTTAAGAGACACATGAAATGTAAAGTATAATCCTTTTGCGAATCCTGATTTACACAAACCATTTTGAAAAGCAAGAGAAGATGGACAGTTTGGGAAATTTGAGTGCTGACTGGCTATTTGGTGCTATAAAGGGGTTACTTAGTTTTTAAGCTGTGACAGTGGCTTTGCAGTTACAGTTTTTAAAAATTCTTACCCATTAGAGGTAAGTACTGAAACATTTATGCATGAAATGATATCTGTGGTTTGATTCACAATGATGTGGGAATTGGCCCTGAGTTGGTCATTGTTGAAACTGGGTGAAGGATGCTTGGGAGTTCAATATGCTCTTTTCTCTGCCATTGTGTCTTTGAAATTTTACAAAATAAAAAGATTTTTTTAAAGGTAAGGGCTAGTGGTAGATCTGTTTCTGAATTTATAATACATGTAACAATTATTACCGTTTACTATTATTACCAAATTTCCCCCAATACTAGTCGTCTTCATTAGAGTAATAATGATGTATAGTATCATGTTCTTTTTTCAGTTGTTTGTAAGACTTATTCCATTTTTAACACTTTTTTTTTTTTTTTTTAAGGTAATGAGCATGGTGTCAGGATTTGCCCCATTGATTTCTGCAGGTATCTTTTCAGCCACTCTTTCTTCTGCATTAGCATCCCTTGTGAGTGCTCCCAAAATATTTCAGGTAAGTATTTTCACATTACAAGCTTTAGTAAAGGGGATCTTAAGGTAATATATTTTAATCCGGGATTGTTAATGTTTTTAAATTATTTGCTTCTGTCAATCCCATATGTATATGATACACACACATATATCAAGACTGGTACATTTAGTTTTATGCATATGAATGTGAATATGTATATTTATATAAACATTGTGCATTTATATACTGTCAGAGTATAGTCTTTGAATTGTGTTTCTGGAAGTAGTGATGAATTTTTGCTCTTTTTTTTTTTTTAATATGTTTTTATTGATTTCAAGAGAGAGGGAGAGATAGAAACATCAGTGATGAGAGAGAGTCATTGATAGTCTGCCTCCTGCATGCCCAATCTACTATCTTAACATCCAAAAAAGAAACAGCCTTCCTGATGGTAGTGTATCACATCACCTTGAAATACTCTTGCCAGGAAATTTGTACTCCAGTCTGATTAACTGTTAAGACCTATGTAGCAGTTGACTGGAAATAAGAGGTGAGAAGAGCCTGCAACCCGGGCATGTGCCCTGACCAGGAATCGAACTGTGACCTCCTGGTTCATATGTTGACACTCATCCACTGAGCCACACCAGCCTGGCAAATTTTTGCTTTTTTTGACATACTCAGCATAAATTTTCATAACACCTTAACCAAGGATAAGTAGTGTGGTCCAAGACCATAAATCAGAAGAATTAAAGTATCTCATTTCCAGTAGTATGGTGCCGACCTAAATGTTTTGCATTAGGTACTCAGAGCATAGCAGTGAATAAGGTAAATATTATCTCCCTTTAAGGAGTGTTAAAGGAATAGCTGATACTGAATAGGAAATGGTTTTATTACTAAATCAAATCAACACAATGTTGATTTTGCAGCTTTGTTCTTAATGTTGTAGTTGTAGCCAGTTATTATAGTAAAGATGTAGAATATCGTTCTTTTTCTTTAAAAAATATATCTTTGTTGATTTTAGAGAGAGGGAGGGAGCGATAGAAACATCAATGATGAGAGAGTCATTGATGGGCTGCCTCCTGCACACCCCTGAGTGGGGATCAAGCCCGCAACCCGGGCACGTGTCCTGACCGGGAATCTAACCGTGATCTCCTGGATCACAGGTCGATGCTCAACTGCTGCGCGACACCAGCCTGGTTAGACTGTCATTCTTAAAACAGTTTTCAGTATTGTTTTAAGAAAAATGATTAAGTTCTGTAATTAGGATTTTTATCTGCTTTTAAGTCCAGCATTTCGGCTTTGCTGTAAAGTAGGTCCCACCTCTGTCATACTTCTCAAACTTCCAAATTTTCATTTGTATGCCTGCTTTTCTGATTCCTTCTTCGTAAAGGAATTTCAGCATGAGCATGGGGTAAGGTGGATACCAGCTTGCGGTATTCTAAACCCTTTCTGATTCTTGAGATGTTTGAAGCTCCTGTACAGTTTGTAGGCGAAGCAGTGTGGGACAGGAAAGAGGATGAGAACGGGAGCCGTGGGTTCCATTCCTGATTAACCTATTGTAACTATAAGCAAATCTGTATGGCTAATTTCAAAATGTTTCCGTTTATTGTTTCCATTTCTTCATTAGGCTCTGTGTAAGGACAACATCTACCCAGCTTTCCAGATGTTTGCTAAAGGTTATGGGAAAAATAATGAACCTCTTCGTGGTTACATCTTAACATTCTTAATTGCACTTGGATTCATCTTAATTGGTTAGTCAAATAAATGGTTTGGTAATGTAAATTGTGGTGCATTTATATTAGCTCTAAACATTGAATTATTAAATAATAAACAATGTTACTTTGCCTAATTTATTAAGTTTCTTTCTGATCAAATGAAAAGTTTAAGAAATACTGCAAATAATAGCACTAAATGCATATTTTCTAAAATTATTACTATCACTAAGTCCTCATTAGGGGTAGAAAGAACTTTTAGGTTCTTGTCCCTAAAACAAAACAATAGTATAAAGAGAAGGATTTCAGCCTCTCCCCTGAAAGTAGGGCCTCTACTGATCTCCTCTTTGGCACTTTGCTTCTGATCACCAGTGAGCTAATGGGTCTTACAGTGCTAAAGAAGACACTCGACTTTTATTAAAAGTCTGATTATACCACCAGGTGTGGAAACTAACTTTCCTGTAATAGTAGGTTTGTATTTGGTATAGCTGCTTTTCAAGAACAAGTTGACAACATTTAGTAAAGTTTCCCGCAATCCAGCAATTCTCTTTAGGGGTATCTACCCTATAGAAATATGCCCATACACAAAATTTTTTTAGTATTATTAATTATAATAGTAAAAAATGGAAGCAACCTGAATACCTACCCATGGAAGAATGAAACTGCAGAATAAGATTCAGCAGTAAAAAAGAATGAACTTGGTTTTCATATATCATTATGGATGAACTTCAGATATAATAAATGTAAAATCAAATTGCAGAATGATAAAGTATGATACTATTTATGTATCTTTTAAAACACCCAAAACAGTTCTACATAATGCTGATTATGTGTATGTAGTAAAACTATATAGCATTGGAAAAAGAATAGAGCAGCTTTGGAAGAGTGATGTATACAGGGGGTTTCAATTGTACATAAGGTTTGATTTCTGAAAAGTAAAGTACATGAAGTATATATGGCAAAATGTATTTATTAAATCTGGATAGTCGATAGCCATTATCTAAAGGTTTGAAATAATTCATAATTTTGGAAAGTTAAAAATGTCTGATGTCAGTAAATATGCCTTGTTTCTTTTGCAGCTGAACTGAATGTTATTGCTCCAATTATCTCTAACTTCTTCCTCGCATCCTATGCGTTGATCAATTTTTCAGTATTCCATGCATCACTTGCGAAATCTCCAGGTGATTTTATACTTTTAAATGTTTTTAAAATGTAATAATGTCTGATTTTAGAGGAAATAAAACATTAACACATTTTAAAAGATGGTTTGTGTGGGATTAGCTCATTGATGCTCAGTCTGCCTTTATAATTGAGTCAAATTAAGTGAGCATTCAAAGATCTCTTAATTGTGAAGTTTACTGGTAATATTGTTTTTTGTTTTCAAGTAATGCTTATCACTTAAAATAGCATTATTCTCAAATTCTAACCAGCACTGCAAAATAATTATTTTTTTGTTTGTTCTTATTTATTTAGCTGTTTTCTTTTTCAGTTCTAAGAATATTATGATATAGCTAACCTGTCCAGAAATATTTTTAACTCAATGAGTTCTGTGGAGTTCTAATATAGGGGGTCTTTATCTACTGAAAACACTTTTTGTTATGGGGTCTGTGTTATAAACCATGACACCAGTTGGGCATCAGGGATGGAAATGAAGGAACAAAAGCACTGTTCCTTTTAGGGATGTAAAAGTGTCTCAAAATAGGAAAGAATAAAGTATGGAAACTTAGGAAGCGAATATCCTAGTTTTAGATTTTACTTTAAGAATATAAATTTTAGAAATGGGTGTGGCTTTAAAAGGGCAAAACAGGGATATTTGTGTTGGACTCTTCTTTCTTTAACTTGAATGTATTAATACAGTATCTTAGTTGTGATATTGTAGTATCGTTTTGCAAGATGTTATAATGGGGGGAAGGTAAGGGGACCCAGAATATTTCTATTATTACTTATGTCTTTGTGTGAATTTGTAGTTATCTCAAAATTAAAAGTTTAATTTAAAAAATATTGTAAATTTTATTGAAATGGTTTAAAAATAGTAGTTTTGCCTGTGGCACTATCTATGAATGAACATTTTTAAATGGCCTTCAACATCTTTTAGTGTGACACTTAATTCATAAATACTTCACCAAATGGGAAGATATGTTTCTATAATTAACTGTTACGTGTGTTTTTTAGCAAGTAAGTGAATTTTTAACAAGCCTCAAGAACATTTTGTTCAAACTGTTTGGTATATTCATTAGAATGTGGATATGTCTCATATTAAAAATCAGGAAAGAAAGCCACCACACCATTAAGGACTTAGTGTAAACTTCTTTTTAAGAACTTTCTGTAGTTTTTAGTGTTCACTAGGTAGGGTAGGTTGATTTACACATTTTTGGTAAAGAGTTTATGGGTACAGAACTAGTAAGATAAAATAATGTGGAAGTAAACAGATGTGCCCATTCATGGCCATCAAGAACTATGAAATTAAACCATGATCTATGGTCTATGACTTTACTGTTACGTATTAGCCTTACACTTACTGTTTTAAGCCCTCTCTGTGTAGCAGCCACAAAGAAAGTTGTTTTTTACTTATATACATATATACCATTTTCTAAAGCAGATGAGTGGGACTTGTATTTATCTACTGTATTTGTTATTGGTAGGATGGCGTCCTGCATTCAAATACTACAATATGTGGATATCCCTTATTGGAGCAATTCTTTGTTGCATAGTGATGTTTGTCATTAATTGGTGGGCTGCACTGCTGACATATGTGATAGTCCTTGGGCTGTATATTTATGTTACCTACAAAAAACCAGGTCAGTAACCTTTTCTATTTAGTATTTCAAGCTAGAAAAGTCTAGAAGTTTTGTTATTTTTCATACCTAACCATCATCTTTTATATATTTAAAAGGTGCTTTGTGTAAAACTTCAACTATTTTACTCCCAAATACATGTAGTTTTAATGAAACAATTACAAGATATTTTAGTCTAAGGAATTCCATTCTTACCCATAAATTAAACTTAATCTTATTTGTAGAAAAATAATAATATATTTAACATTCTGTTGCACCAAGATTTTATTTTATTTAAATACATATTTTATTGATTTCAGAGAGAGGAAAGAAGAGGGAGAGAGAGAGATAGAAACATCAATGATGAAAGAGTCATTGATCGGCTGCCTCCTGCACGCCCCCGACTAGGGATCTAGCCCGCAACCCGGGCATGTGCCCTGACTGGGAATCCAACCACAATATCCTGGATCCTAGGTCAGTGGTCAACCACTGAGCCACATCTGGCCAGGCGCACCCAGTAGATTATTTGAAAGGATTAGATTTGTAGTATTGTAGTAACTGTTAGCTTAATAAGCATACATATGTGTTACCTACTGTAATATGTACCATGGAATTCAAAAAATACCAGAAGACATAGTGTCTCCCCATAAGCTTACTGTGTGTCAGGGAAAATTGGGAAACATGTTTTGACTGGGAAATGGTAAAAGATTACCTAGAACATGTCTGATTGATAACTGTTGGTGTATCTTCACATAAGAAGATGATACTAAGATATATTAAGATTGTCCACTATTCACTACGGTAACCTGTAACCCAAAAGAAAGATCCAGTGATACAGGTTTGAAAAGTTTTGGCCCAACAGAATAGATTAGGAAGTGATTATAAGAGTAGCTGCAGTGTGGTCATCTAAAACAGTGAGGAAACCTTTTGTAATTCTAATACTACACGATGAGGTTTTGGATTAGAGTAGTGGCTTTAGAAATGAAATGGACAAAGACAGTATTATTTTAACCATCTTAGAAGCAATCATTTCTCTAATATGTCTCTAAAGGAACAAATGCCTAAAATCATCGTTTGTGTCTAGGCTGTTTATTCACTAGGAATAAAAAACTGCCTATTCAAATAACTTAAAACTGTAAGTACTGTAAATAGTACTTAACATTCAGAGAGCTGCCTCTTTCCCTTTCACCCTTTAGCAATATAAACAATAATTTTAAAATTTTTCTTTATGAAAGACTCTTGAATTGTAAGTATAGCACATCTGCAGCCCTGTCTCAGTCTTTTCTAAATTATGCTTTTTCTTTAAATGCAATTATAGTTCAGATTAGCATTGTCTTAATATCATGCTGTGAACTTAAACTATTAAAAGTTCCAACTATAATAGTTTATTTTAGCAATTAACTTTTCAAATATGAAAGCATCGTTTATTTGTCTGCGTGTCACCTTGGTTGCTGGCTGGCTGTTAACATTGAGCAATACCTTTCCTGCAGATGTGAACTGGGGATCCTCCACGCAAGCCCTGACTTACCTGAGTGCGCTGCAGCATTCCATTCGTCTTTCTGGGGTGGAAGACCATGTGAAAAACTTTAGGTAAGTGGTAAGGGAAGATCGAAATGTTTGTCTTACGTGGCATTAGTTATTCACTTGTTGTTCAGTAACATTTTTATATGCTGATATTTCATGAAAAGCTCTCTAAAAGCATAGAATATTTTTTGTTGTTGTTGGACTTGGGCAGTTTATTCAGGAATAAGGTTGAGGTTCTTAGTTATCAAATTGTACAAACAGATAAATTATCATCTACTTTACAGAAATGTTGTGAAAGTTTTAGAGGTCTCATCTGAAGACATTTAAATGGTAGGGATCATCCTCTGTGTGGCCATGGAAGTCTTATAACTGGTCTATCCCTACTAAGTCTGAAATCCATAAAGATTTGACATACCTTTTTATATAATTTTGTTAAGGTACTAAGTGTTTTCATGTTAGTTACTTCTTTCTCATCCTTGACTAACTGGAAACCAGTTTTAATGATAAGAGCCAATGCCTTAGAATAGAGTATTAATTACTGTTTTTCTCAATAAATGACTATATTTTATCTTAATTTATTTATCAGTCATCAGTTTAAAAACTATTCCATATAACTTAACATGCTTCTAATAACTGATGAGAATCAATTACTAAAGCACTATTGGTATATACGTCTCTAAATCCAGATATATTATTTACTTACATATATTCTTCGGAATTATAGATTATTATTTATACTTAATTAAAAGGAGGCTTGTCATTCTTAAAAAGCAGATCATTAGACAGTGACTCTCATACTGTTCACAAGCCTTGCTGTGAACATGAGTAACTTTCTGTAGTCATGAGTAAGCAATCACCTCTTACTGGCTTCTACACAATAAACAACAGAAATGTATCCCATGTTTGTCAGTAAACCAAAAGGGAAAATGTTTCTTCACGAAACCCTGAAGAGGGGCAGCACCAGAAAAGACTTGCTCTACTGGACCTCTCCCAGTAAGAAAAGGTTTTGCGTATTCTTTTTATTACATGTTTCAGTCCACCTCCCCTTTTTTCTCAAATGAAAAGTTCCCAGAGACCACAGATCTTCAGCTTTGGGGTAGAGAGAAACTGAGAAAAGAAAATGGAATGAGAGCCCCGAGAAGAAAACTTTGATTTCAGTACATGTTGGATAGTTGATGCCGAGAATGGCAGAAAATAGAAATCATTCCTTTCTGTAAAAAGTTGTATCCCAAAACTGAGAGTCTATATATCCAAGAGTCACAGTTAATTTGCCATCAATAAGAACCTGTTGCTTAGGTTTATCATAGTGATGCGAACATTTAAAAAATTTATTTTCCAATAAGGCTTTTAAAATTTTCATTAGAATTATACAAGAACATAGTTTAAAGAGGAAAAGCAGTCATTTAAATCAGTATTTCCCCCACTTCTCAGGCTGTTTCTCTTACACCACAGGCACCCACTGTCAGCGCTTGCTTCCTTTAGCGGAGTCCCCATCACCCTCCTAGACAGTGTGCCTGCTGTGCTGTGACTTTCCGTCTTCGGCACTGCTACTGTCCTCTAGCTACTGTCCTCCAGCCTCGCGCTTGCCACGTGCTCTTCCTTTATTTCATCCTCCCGGGATATTTTAATGCCATTGTTTTTAATTAGATCAGACTTGGTACTTTTATTACTTTTCAAACATGATTCAGAGACAAGCCACTGCGTAAATTGTGACTGCTTTTTCTTTCCTGTACAGCTTTTTTTTTGCTTTCTCCGGAGTAAATACTATTCTTTTTCCCCATTAACTTTTTATTTATCACTGTCTCATCCTTCACCAAACTTGCTGAAAGAGTTTGATTCCTTCACTTTATAGTTTCTATTTCCTTGAAGTGTCTTTCTCACTGCTTCCTATTTCTTTAATTTGAGGTCTTAGATTTTAGGTTTGGCGTAAGTATCTGTTATCCTTCGTCATGGAAGCTCTGCGTTTGTGGGTGGGGTTTGTCAGTGAAGTCCTTAATGTAGATTAATGTGGCCCTGCTGATTCTTTGAGAAATTTAAGTCATCTTAAAGGCTTTCTTTTTTGGTCTGATTAGATTTCCCAGAAAAGAATCTTTTAATCTTCGATTGTTGATAAATTCCTGGCTACCAGAGTTCTGAGAGCCAAGTGGGAAAGTTGCTCAGAGATCTCTGCATACAGCTTATAAATGCTCTCGACTAACTCCCCTATTTCAAGTAGCTATTTCTGCCTTCAGCTGTTGCTGGTGTCTCCCAGACCAGAGGCTCTCTCTGCCAAATTAGCTCTGGCCTAAAAGGATTGGAGAGGAACAGGGACAGTTGACTATCATTGTGATGGGAATAATTTGGGTTTGTCTAGTTGCTTCTTATGAAAACTTTAACTGGTCTTTATTTAGTTTCGTTAACACATTGCCCCCACCACTTCCAGATGCATCTACTGCCTGTAACACCTAGGCATTTGGGTAACTTTTTTTTAGATGTAAAGTCAGGTAACTTCACAGGTTTCTGTTATGCTCATTTAGGATTTAGCCTTTTCCTGACTTGTAAAAATCCTTTATTCTTTTGTTTTCTAACTTTTAATATTTCAGTTGTATTATATCCTAGTCTTTACATTTTTGTGGGTTTGTGCCTTAAAAGACCCCATTATATCATGTAAATTTTTGAGGAAGGAGTTAAAATGAAGGCAGATGTTCATACTGTCATTGTTACTCAGTCATCCCTAATATATTTTTCACCATACCTTTTTGGTATGATAAAACTGTACCAAATTACATATGACTTTGTGCTACGTTTACCATTTAGTAAAGACAGAGACTGCAAATTAATTTCCCACAGTAATAGGCTACATTGAGTATAAGTTACAGTACCATAACAAAAAGCTAAAAAAATACAGTGGCTAAGGAAGACAGACATCAGTGTTATGTGATATTCTGGAGACAGATGGACAGTTCATGGTCGGGGGGCAGATTTGCTGCACTTGGTCATTCAGGCCCCACATTCCTTCTATCTTGTCAGTCTGCTATTCCCTAGCAGGAGTTTTTGGCCATGTGGTCAGTGTCTTTACCACATCCATGGCCTAGCTTATAGGAAAGGAAAGGAAAGTATGGAAGGTTGCCAGCTTCCTAATTAAAGGACACAACCTGGAAATAGGAATATCATGTGGGCTGTAAATCAGTCAGTCATAAGGCTATTTTTAGCTTCTAGGAAGGCTAGGAAATGTAATCTGTAGCTGGGGATCCAACGTAACCTGCTAAAGCTCAGATGGGGATGGGGACAGTGGACTATATAGTAGTCTGGGCCCTAGAGGGTGATTTCACCTTTGATTGCCCCAAAACAGTTCTCCCAGACAGTACTGGTTTTTCACATAGCTTGCTAAAGTTATGAATGTTCGTATATTTTCAGACTTTAGGTTTTCATGCTTATTGTATGAGTATAGTTAGTTACTACCCTAGTAATTAATTTAGTGATTAAGGCAGAATTTTTAGTCTATTTGCTTTTTGTTATTTTGTTTTAATTATATTAATTCTTGTTTTAAAGAATTTTTGCTTATCTGTTTGAACTTATAAAATAGATACCTAAATATTTTTTATGAAAAAGTTGATTTCCATTTGTAGTTGGGGAAAATAAATATGAACGTCATGCCACTGTCTTGTGTTGGCAAAGACATTTTAATTCAATTTTGGCTCTCACCATAATTAATTAAACATTTTTAGTTCAAATAGAAGCCTTAGAAGCCATTTCTTCACCATAGGTGGTTTTACTCATATGGCAACAGTCATAAAAATTGAACTAGAATAGAGAGGGCTGATATTACAAAGTAGGAGTAATTATGATGTGATTTAGCTAAGAAGGACAGTGACCTGTTTTGTATGTGAAGGCAAGGCCATGCTCTCAGGAAGTTTTGTGAATTCTGTGAAAGAACTGGAATATTTACTAGCTTTAGAAGATGAAAAGACGTTAATATATTTTTTAATCAGTATGGTCATGTCTTTCTGTAATACCTACCAGAATCCTTGATGTATAATCTTACCTCTTACTTTTGAAGAACCGTTGGCATAATGTTTTTTTCAACAAGGTTTTGTTCCTGCATTTCTTATATATCAAGAAACCTTGGCTAAAAGTCATCTTTTATGAGAATTGGGGCCTGTGCCTTGAGGAAACTGCATAAATGAGATTCTAGTGTAATAATATATTCTTAGAAAAACAACTTAAAATCATGTCCATGTTACCAGCAACCTAAACTGTAATTTTTTCTTTTTAATCTTAAATTAGGCCACAGTGTCTTGTTATGACAGGTGCTCCAAACTCACGCCCAGCTTTGCTTCATCTTGTTCATGATTTCACAAAAAATGTTGGTCTGATGATCTGTGGTCACGTGCACATGGTAAGTGTTTGTTTTGTTTTCTGTATTAAAACATTTTTCACTCTGTATATAATTTATAATTTGTAGGGCTTTCTAGATCTGAAATAATTTGACAAGATAAACAAATCTGTTGGGTGTTTGTTTTTAAAGGTAGTTATTTTTGTCAATATTTTTGCTGCTAAACTGTTTTAAAACCTTATTTCTAAAAAGATACTGGAATTTGAAAGCTTAATTGTTTTTCTTATTTGGAGTAGATTTTAGCAAACTATATTGCTCTTATAGAATGGTTTGGCTAAGCACAATAGCTTCTTGATAACTAAGGAGGCTAAATAAAATTTAGTATGTGTTTTTTTTTCTGATTTCTCATAAAGTCCTGAGAACACTGTGACTATTTGCTTACCAGGAAAAAAAGTTGGAAGAGGTAGACAAATCATGGTAAATCTAATATCTAGTATACAAGAAGAGTACAGCAAATGCTGCATTTCCCATTAATTTTTATTTTAACCACGAGTTAAAAAAAATATTAAAAATAGTGGTAGCCTGGCCGGGCATGGCTCAGTGGTTGAGCGTCGACCTAGGATCCAGGAGATCGGGGTTCAATTCCCGGTCAGGGCACATGCACGGGTTGTGGGCTCGATCCCCAGTGAGGGGCCTGCAGGAGGCAGCCAATCAATGACTCTCTCATCACTGATGTTTCTGTCTCTCTCTCTCCCTCTCCTTTCCTCTCTCTGAAATCAATAAAGATATATTTAAAAAAAAAATAGTGGTAAACTGTCATCCAAAAGCATTTTTTTTTGTTGTTTTTTGGCACCTTGGCTATTGAAAACAGTCAGCAGATGATGGATCACCTGTTCTGCATAAGAAATTGGAGTATTTATTTTTCAGATTCGCTTTTTTCCCAAGCTCTATTATTCATCTTGTTTTGGTGCTAGAAATGTGTTGTATGCCCATGACCCAGGCCCTGCTATAGTTTTGCTCTTCTACATAAATAGGAGCAAAGTCAGGCTGTCTTGTGCGTGTCCAGTGGGGGAGGGGAACACGACACACAGACATGACAGGACACATTGAGACTACTCCTACTTGGGACCTGTGGAGTTTGCTAGTTTGTCTCCAAGTTCATCAATTCAATTTGGGATCCTGAGCACAAGAAATTACAAATGGGGCAATTTTTCTACTAGGAAAGATAAATTGTATTTTTTCCTTTACTTATTCATGTGTAATTAGTACTCTTAAACTTATTTTTAGGTTTTTGCCTTATTCATTTGTATATAACAGATTTATGTGTTGCTTGAAAGGATCAAATTGAATTGCAAGTTTAAAAGCTCATTTCTTTGTTATTTCATTGTTTAACAGATAAAGAAAAAAATCCATTTATATTATATAGCTCACTTTGATTTTCACTGATATTTCTAGATTACTGAATATTAATAACTCAGACATTTGGGACAGACAGAGAACAAGCAAGCTGGGAAACTGTCTGTGGAAAAACAGAAGGCTCTTTTTTCCTGCATAATCTCTTCTCCAGTTTCAATAATTTCTGATTGTATTTACTTAATATCAGAAACTTACTGTTTTCAGTCTGTGTTTCTTCCTCTTATCTTCTCCCTTTTACGGGTACCCCTGTGTGCCTTAACTATTTCATCAACTCCATCAAGGTCTTTTTAAAATCTTAAGTATTGGAAAGAATTCACTGACATGGAAATGAAGTGCCATTGTTATACTTCTCTCCCCGATCTCCAATGTTTAGGCACTTTAAGCCAATATAATAGGAAGATTTTTATAAACGTGGAATAGATTACCTTTCAATTAAAGATATTAATATTTTACCTTAAAGGGGCCTCGAAGACAAGCCATGAAAGAGATGTCCATTGATCAAGCTAAATACCAACGGTGGCTTATTAAAAACAAAATGAAAGCCTTTTATGCACCAGTACATGCAGATGACTTGAGAGAAGGAGCACAGTATTTGATGCAAGTAAGTTTCTTATGTCTTTCAAAAGACAGCATTTTAGTTTGCTGTAAGCTTTTAAAAACTTTAGGTTTCATTCTTCATATTAATATAAATGGTAAATCTTTTAAAATATCTTTATTAAAGTAAACTACTAAGATTTATGTAATTTGAGAATTAAAGGGACTATAGAAACAATGTGCTTTTGGCTAACTGAAGAACCTATTATCTTAGCCTATTTCTCTGACCTTGTTTTTTTTTTTTAAGGAGTGTTAAAGTAATGGTAGCCCTTATTTAGTTTATTGTTTTGTTTTGTTTTTTAATTCTAGTTTTTTATTGTATTTCTATTTATTTACTAGTACTAAACTTAGACTTCTTTTTCAGTGTTGTGTATGGCATAGTAGCCAGATTGAAGGATTTGGAGTCAGTCATAGGCTGAAAGGCTAGCACTGCCACTTCCTTATGGATTTTGGACTCAGCAAGTTAATAAACTTCTCTGAAACTCAGTTTCCTCAGCCCTCAAGGTCGTGGGAAGAAAAAAATGGGTTTATACAGTGTTTGCCAACAGATTTTTATAGGAACCTCTTTCTTCTAAAGAAGCTCTCTCACTGTGTTAATTGTGGAGCTGCTTTGCTAAGGTGGAGGTGGGAGGCTCAGTGCGGTCACCTGAGCCCTTTCTGTTTTGTGTTTCTTAAAACTTCACAAACACAGGGTTAAGAATAGCCTCGGCAATCCTCAGGAATTATAAGGGGTGAGAGTGGGGTTGCTTTGGCAGATATAAGTGTTATCATGAGACTATAGTAATTAAAACATTATGGTACTGAAGTAGCAATGTAACAAACAGAAGAAATAGAGCCACTCATCTAGGAAACTTAATATTTGACCAAGGTGGAATTGAAAAGGATGAGCTAGGACAGTTGATTATCCATGTGAAAATAATATAATAGATCCTTACAAAGACAACTATAAAATTTCCAGATGGATTCAAGACTTATATGAAACGCAGTATTTGAAAAACTTTTAGAAGAAAATACAGGGGAGAATTTTTTTTAAATGACCCAAAAAATTGAACTATGAAAAAGAGATCAGTTATTTTTTTAGGTAAACTGAGAATACCATTGTGTTATGATTTTTATAAAAGATTAAGTATATTTTTAAAGTTGTATTTTTCCTGTATTTTAGGCTGCTGGTCTTGGGCGTATGAAACCAAACACACTTGTCCTTGGATTTAAGAAAGATTGGTTGCAAGCAGATATGAGGGAAGTGGATATGTATATAAACTTATTTCAGTAAGTGTCCTTTTAATTAAATAACTTGGTTCAGAAAAATGTTAACTTTGAAAGCTTGCACTGATTTTTGAAGCCTGTTTTTCTTTTCTTTTTTTTAAAACATATCTTTATTGATTTCAGAGAGAGGAAGGGAGAGAGAGAGAGAGAGATAAAACATCAGTGATGAGAGAGTCATCATTGATCAGCTGCCTCCTGCACGCCTCCAACTAGGGATAGAGCCTGCAACCTGGGCATGTGCCCCGACCAGGAATCGAACCACAATGTCCTGGATCCTAGGCCGATGTTCAACCACTGGGCCACGCCTGGCTGGGCTGAAGCCTGTTTTTCATATAGTCTCTACTAGTAGAGGCATAAGAATGAAAAGAATCACATACGGTTATGTAGGTTTTGAATTGATCTATTAACAAAAATTTTGAGTGATTTTTTTTTTTTTGGTTCTTTTTATACACATGAACATTCGCACACATATATATATTCACACACACTCATATAATCTGACTTCCCATTTAAGTTAGTAAGCTTTTTCACATCCCTTCAGCTATTGCTGAGCAGAGTTCCTGAATGTTGTCAGACCCATCATCTCTAAGCTATGTCATTATAATAATACCGATGCGGAGGAAGGCATTTCATCACTGATACAAGCCTCAGAGGTTAGGTTTGTTCCCCTCTCAAACTAATTTTGCAGTTAATTATTTGGTTCATCTGTTATTTACACTTCTTTTTTGTTGTTGTTGATCTTTTTTGTTAAATATATTGGGGTGACACTGGTTGACAAAATTATATAGGTTTCAGGTGCACAATTCTACCACACATCATCTGTTCATTGTATTATGTGCTCACCAAGTCCAGTCTCTGTCCATCACCATTTATCCCCCCATACTCTCCTACACCCCCCCAGCAATCACCACACTGCGTCCGTGTGCCCATGAATTCTTTTTTAATAATATACTCATATGTTTTGCTTTTCCACCCCTTGAAGTATAAGGTCAGACTTTACTATTCACTTTCACTGCTATTTCCAGTGATTTTATCAGACGGCTTAGTTTTTTTTATTTATATTACTTTAACTTCCCTCTTCCTGGTTTTTTAGTGGGTTTTTTCGACTTTTGTTACTTTGCCTTTCTGATTTTACTCTGTTCATGGTATTATTTATTTCTCTTATTGGAACTCCTCTTGTACCTACAGATAAAAGCACATAATTATTTGCCTGTGTCACACAGGATGGTTTTGTCTTCATAGCTGCCTTAAAACAATTTGAGGAAGCAGCCCAATCTCATACCTTACTTTAAAAACCTCTTTCTGTTGATTAGTAATGTATGCAGTGAGTAAGATTTCCCAAGTAATTGTTAAGTGCTTCTAGTAAATCTAAAGCCTTGCTGGTTTGTCATATGTGACTGCTCTTTGGCTTTGGGGTTAGTTTTTTGTAAGCCAGGATTCGTCCTACCTTAAACCTTTGCCCCTCAGTGGAAAAACCTGAAGTTTTGCAATTTGAAATTCTTTCAGTAGATTCAAGGAGAACTTGGGTTTACATGATTTACGGTCATAACAAAGCTTACAGAATTTAAGCCTGGTTTTAGAGTTGTGTACTAGGGCTTTATGTATATTATGTATTATGGGATGCTCCCATTTGTGTTTTAAAAAAAATAAAAGTACTTTTGAATACATGTTTGCGAATGCATATGAAACCTCAGGACTACTTTTTTAAATTGTTTTGTAAAAATTCTTAAATTACTTCAAAATAACCTTTCTCCTTTCAGAAATGATCCCTTCTTCATACTCTACAGTCTGCTTTCATTCCCAGTAAAATCCATCTTCTTTGTCTTCATATATTTCTCTTGGCTTTAAGGGGTATAAGCTTAAGTTAAATATGGTTGAATTCCTGAAAGTTGTTTTTCCATAATTTTAGCTTGTTTGTGATAGGATAAGAATAGTTACTGTTTAAACAGCTGCTGTGGGTAAACTACCAGCACTATAAAGATTTACATGTAAACAGCTTTTAGAGGTTTTACAGAAAAAGGGAAAAGGAATGGTATAGGATTTGAAACTAACATGGCTCTTGCCATAATTTTTAAAGCATATTAAAGAATCAGACATTTAAAGCTGGAAGTAATTTTATAGATCATCGGCTATTACCTTCATTTTATAAAGGGGACAAATTTTTCTCTCCTTTTTCCTATTATAGTGACGCTTTTGACATACAATATGGAGTAGTGGTTATTCGCCTAAAAGAGGGTCTGGATATATCTCATCTTCAAGGACAGGGTAAGTCTTTTGAAATAAGTTTTTTATTTTAAAAATAAAAATTACTTTGTTAGATAATTATATATAATTCTTACAAGTCCTTGAATAATTTAAATATTTAACATCTACTGTGTCATGTACTGATTGAATGCCATTTTAAGGTCGTATCTGTTTGGCTCTACCAAAGTTTGTACTAATCTGGATGATGGCTAGTGATTAGAAAATAAAATTCAATCCACATCATAAGTTGAAGAGAAACAAACATTTGTAACGATTATAAATTGGCCAAATTTGTTAAAATATATAATGAATAAAACAGTTGGAGGAAAAAATGTTAATGAGTGCTAAATCATTAGACATTTCATGTTTCTGAAAGTCATGCTCGTATATAGAGGCATAGAAATAGTGAAGAACTGAACTTTGTGATTTCATTTACTCTATTCTCCAGAAAAGACCCTATAAATGAGTTTTTAAACCATTTTATTCTGAAATAATTATAGAATCACAAGAAGTTGTAAAAAACAATAGAAAGGTCTGTGTACCCTCCTTTTAGTTTTCCCCAGTGGTAAGATCTTGTAGAGCTGTAGTTCTTTCCATCACACATGTGTATACTTCTGTGCTATTTATCACATGCTGATTTATGTAACCAGCACCTCAGTCAAGATACAGAACTGTTCCAACACCACAGAGATCTCCTTTGTTCTACCCCTATATAGCTTTCACTACACTTTTCCCCTTTCCCCCATCATGACACCCACCAGTCTCTTCTCTAACATAATTTTCAAAGCATTTAAAAAACCAACCATTTTTTTTAAAGTGAGAATTAAAACCAGTTAAGGTATACTTACTTACAGCTTTTGCCAACTTTTTAAAAACTATGGAAAATTCCATAGCCTCTAATGATTTCCTGGTAGTTTAAAAAATATAAGTTTAAGAAAATTTTCGTACCTAATATTTTACCCTTATCAAGTAATTAACCAAATCATCCAAACTAGCTAAAGCCTAAATAGCTGAGAGACAATAATGAGCTTTTGTCATCTGCTTACGCATTTAAACTGTTTTAATCTTCCCACTCCCCCTACCATTTTAAGGTATTGTACATTCCAAAAAGGAATGCTTTGAGGCCCTTATCCATATGACACAAAGGTGTGGCTTGCTGAAAATGCACTTTCTTACTCTGGAATAGGCCTTGCAAATACTATTTTTATTCTCATTTGCTCTTACAGTGATTTAGGTTTAGGATACCTGTTAACTCTGCATCATTTGTAGTGTTCCCTTTCAGCCAAAAATATCATATATCATAGTTTGGCTAATAACTTACACAGTTCTGTACTCTACTGAGATTCTGAATGTGATGGGAACCTGGAAACATTTTCATGTGTTTATAATTGTTGTGAAAATTGTTTTGAAACCCGTTATTCATCACTAGGATTTGAAGATGGGGATTTGGTTTAGCGCAGGGTTTAAAAGCGCAGGCTTTGGAGTCAGATCTGCTTTAGAAATCCCAGCCTTTTCTCGGAGCAGTTTCGTAGTCTGGGCAAATGTACTGACACCCAAGGCTGTTTCCTCATCTGTTAAAGCATAATTTCCTCACAGAGTCGTTGTGAAGATTAAAAAGGGGTATGGCCTGTGAAGCCTTTAGCAGTGACAGCAACGAAGCTCCCCCAGTTTCTATGGTTACGTCTCTTAATGCACAAATCAGTGATGAGGATTATGGGCAGATGATCAAGTTCATATTATGGTTGTCTTCATGATAAATGTTTTTATGGTGGAAGTTAAACTGTTTCCCAAATGACAGAAAATGAAGAAATGGTACTTTCACCAGGAGCTCAGGAAAGGACTCTATCCCCTACTTTTGGCTCTATAGTTATGGGTATAATTTTTCAGTGTTGTCTGTCATCTTACACGTATATGAACATTTGTCACATTTTACATTTTTCACATGTGTAAATGACTTTGAGAGTAGAGTTGATTCACATTTCATACATCATTCTTGTGTCTACCAGATTCTTGTGTTCCCTGAATCTCACTCATTACTGGATTCCCCAGCACCTAATTCAGATGTCTGACAGTTTGTGGCTCAAGATATTGAAGCAGTCATTTCAAAACAGATTACAGCATTTGCTTACATCAGAGATCACTTATTATAAACTTATTTTGTAATAAACTTTGCTTGAAATGGTCACTTAATTGATATTGTACCATGATGCCTTCTTTAATGGTTAAAATAAGATTTAGATAATATTTTAAATACTTTCATATTTACAGAAGAATTATTGTCATCACAAGAGAAGTCTCCTGGTGTCAAGGATGTGGTACTAAGTATGGAGTATAGTAAGAAATCAGATTTAGATACTTCCAAACCATCTGGTGAAAAAACTATTACACATAAAGGTAATTTTTACTCAAACAAGAAATTTTATTAACAGTCATGTTTTAATTTGGGGAGAAATGGTTTTATTATATAACATAGCTAATAAAGTAACCTGCTCTCAAATTTGTACTTTTTATTTCTAGTTGCTCGGGTGAAATTTATAGCTTTCAAAAATATCTACAGAATAATTAATTTTAAGGTATTAAAAGTAGATCACAGAATAGAAACCATGCCAATTAATTATCTAACATGCTCTTGTATGTTTTTATTTATACTTGCTTTAAAGAAAATATTTTAATTTGAAGCATAGGTTAAACCTGAACTTGGAAAGAGACATAATTTTAGAGTAATGTGCATATTATAGCACATAACACTGAAAGGAATGAAGTTTATATAGTTAATTAACCTTTTTGGAGGGGGGGCAGTAAATCAAGATATTTAAATGCCAGGGTTTTTGTTTTTGTGCTGAGATATTCAGAATATTTTTACCTCTTCTGCATCTAAAGTTGTTTAGGTAAAACAATGTAATAAAAACTCAAATGCAATTTTCTTTCTCAGTATAGTCTCTGAAGAAGTGAGCTGTCTGTATTTGGGTGAACTATTCAGCTGTAATTACAGACATGATACCCTTGGTAGCTCATGTGTTTTAAGCTACTAAAAGATTTCCAGATCTCATAAGACTCTCAAATAATTTCATCCACAAATCTATATGTCATGTTTATGAGAAGGAAAGAGGGATGACTTCCAAATCTTACTCTCCCATCCTCACTCTACCTCTGTTCAGTCTAGTATCTCCATCTGTCCTATACTCAGTTGACATACAGCAATAAAAATCTGCACTGTAAATCATCGAACCATATCATGCTTTTGATTCCTGTAAAATAATTACCATTCTTTTTCTGAAATTGATAATATTGGACAGTTCTTTTCTCTGAAAATTGATCTTTTCTAGATTATCTAGAAGCATTACTGTTTTTTATTTCTTTCCTCCTTTTTTGCTTAGAGTAATGGTAGTTGAGCTTAGTTGAGACCCATTTTTCCTTTCAGTTCTTTGCTGGCTTGATTATAATTTTTTTCTGTTTCACCTCAAAACTCTGTAAGCTGAATGTGACAGCATTGTTCTTATGTTCCTGCACTTATGTTTAGCTTATGGTCCACATTCTCCCATTCCAGCTTACTTTTCTTTTGTCCTTTCTCTTGCCTGAAACAAATCCTTTTCTGTACTGAATCTGCTGGGAATTAGTAGATAAAACTATGATGGGAGGGGAAGAAGTAATATTTATCAAGCATCTCCTTTGTGCCTCCCACAATTTAGATGTTATCCATACATTAGCTCATTAATGTGAGTCACAATCTTATGAATCATCATCTTTATGAAGTAGGAAACTGGGTCCGTACATTTCTATTTATCTTTTTTATTGTGAAAATATAAATACTTTCAATTTAGTTTAAATCAGAGTGTCAATATTTCCTTGACATTTCTGAGCTCTTTGAAATGAATATACAAAGTCCATAGTTATGTTTGTGTTTTTTATCTTCGAAGGCAGATAATATCAAATATCTATAGGAACAATAATATTTAATACTAAAAAATTAAATGTAATAATTGAAATGTTTCTTGTTCCATAACAGGCATAAGAAATTAGCATTCAAAAACAGCATTAATATTTTTGTATTTCTTTTTTACCAATTGTTTCCAAAATTAGCATAGAAGCCACAGAAAAGTTTATACAGTTTTTAATTTATAAACATTCTGGTATAGTTTTAATTTATAAACATTCTGGTATAGTTTTTATGTAGTAATAGGTACTTGGTATTTCTGCCTTGATTACTGAGGCATACAGTATACAAAGGAACAAAAAGAGCACCCTTTTAATACTGATTCTGTGTTGAGCACGGAGCTGAGTGCATTAATGTTTCCAATATAACAGCCTTAAGAGGTAGGTGCTGCTCATCCTTGTACAGCTGAGGAAAGTGAGGCGCTAGGTCACAGCCGGAAGAGGGGTTAGCTGTGACACGGAATGCCGGGAGTCCAGGCCAAGGGCCCGCTGCAGTGTATCTCCCCTGTCCGAGTTGGAAGTTTTATATGCCTTAAGTAATGCAAGCTTATATTTAAAAAAAAAAAAAAAAATGAGATTAGGAAAACTGTTAACTCCAGGAAAACGTTATAGATATTTAAATGTAAATGGACCAGTATATGCAGACATACTTGCATATGCATATAATCAACTCCTATGTAACCTGACATTTTATATAAAGCAAGAAACCCCGTCTGATCAAATGCCTTAATATTTCAAGTGGTGATTGGTTTTTATAAATACCAAACATCCCTTAAGTGTTTCAAAAATTACTTTCAGTCATCTGCATGGCGATGCAGTGGCATGTTTAAAGTTTATGTGTTATTTGTGATGTTAGTTTTTTAATGTCATATTTCTACTCTATTAGCCATAATTCCACATCTTGTCAACTGATTTCAAGTATGAAAGTTTAAAGTTTAGCAGAATTTTTAAAGTTTTGGTCAGTTGTACAGGACTAAAACTTAGGGGTGAGTGTTAATCAGTAGCCCCATTGGAGAGGTCTAAAACATGTTTGCTTTTTAAAATCCTGCACACAGTGGAGAAAATATCAGTCTTCAGTCTTGATTGCTTTTCAGACTGTTTCTTCATATTATGTTTTGTTTATAAATGTGCTCTATTTACATATTCATTATTTTATTAACATAAAGGCAATTAACTTATATTTTGTGTTTTTTAAACGTAATCTAGATGAGGAAGAGGATGGCAAGACTCCAACTCAACCACTGTTGAAAAAAGGCAGGCATTTTTCATCATTTTATTTTAATCCCTTTTTCATACTGTTAACTCTTTAACTCCAACCTTATTATTTTATTTTTTTACTTTAGTTTTTATTTTCATGGTGAGGTGATGTTACAGTTATTTATTAAATGCAGATTAGAAAAATTATTATTAGTCAAAGAGTTAAATCATCCCAAGAAAAGGTGTTATATCAAAGAGAATTATTTTAAATCATCATAGCATTTCTAAAATATTCAAACCCTGAAAGTCAGTATTTTTTTTATTTAAACTGCATGGTTTAGATGATAAGTAGAGACACTGAAATAGATTTACAGTGTCCACTGCATTCTTTACCATCAGTGCTACCCAGCCAAGTCCTTAATTTTGATACTAATATATTTTTCATTTCAAAAATTACAATATTTCTCACAGTCCTGCTGCGTTTGGGAGATACAGTCATGTCAGCGTACATGAATTTTATGAGAAGGAGATAGAGGTGAGAGTTATGGAGCAGTGTGGTTTGGTAGCCATATTACTTCATCATGCAAAATCATTCGTCATGTTTGCGTACACTGTGGCAGCATGAAAAGTGAATGATAGACATTCTGCCAAAGGGATCAGATTTTCTCCTATGGATTTCTGCTCTTAAAAATTTGGTCTAGGAGTTTCATAATAGTCATTTGCTTACTCACAGAGCCAGTGTTGAATTTTTTTTTTTTTTAATTTCCTGGGAATATAAACAGGAACTCCCTGGTATACTGTATATTGCTCTTTGGACTTAGCATATGGATGCCCTTCCAGGGAGTTCCCACCATCTTTCTGTGGTTCAGAGAAAGATGTGGTGGTTATATGGCTTTAGAATTGGGTGTCACATACTAAGGGGACAAATGCTAGGAAAAATGAGGGAGCTTTTCCTTAGACTAAGGTTTCGCTGTGATAATTGTAAGATTGTGTTGGTATGTCTTCCACTTCTGTCTTTCATTTTATAGATAACATTTTATTTTAAAAAAATTTTTGAACTTTAAATTATTTAGAAACCAGATTACAAGAGAAATATATTCATACAATAAGCATAAACTTTTAAAACAGCTTCTGAAAAATCAAAATCCAGCAGTCAATCGTAATTTTCTTGGTGTTTGTGATTCTTTCATTCAGAATGCTTCAAAATATTGGAAATTAGGCAAGATAATTTGGATGAGTTTAGCTATTGTGAAGAGTTATCTGTAACCATCTTAAAAGTATATTTAAATGATAAACAACTGAAAGTTTATGATGGATGCCATATACTACTATCTGCATTATTAACATTTGAACATATAGAAGTTAGGAAACTATATGAATTCAGCAAAATGGACTTTAATATTTAGCTCCCTTACATCTTATTTCTCTGCTTAATCCTTTAGAATCCAAAGGCCCTGCTGTGCCTTTAAATGTAGCTGACCAAAAGCTTCTTGAAGCTAGTACACAGTTTCAGAAAAAACAAGGAAAGAATACTATTGATGTTTGGTGGCTTTTTGATGATGGAGGTAAGGTGGTTAATATATCTAACAGTTTTAAATTTACTGAAGTTGTAGGAATAGTACTAAGAATTGGCATGTTCCTCACCCATAGACCCCATTCCAGTTTTGCCGACATTCCCAAAAGCAACAGGATTAATTTCAGAATCAGCTGTTACACTTAGTTGTCCTATCTCTTCATTGTCCTTCAGTTTGGGAGTTGTTAAGGTCCTTCCTTGAGCTTCATGACCTTAACATTTAAAAAAATATTACAGACCAAATATTTTGTAGATTGTCACTGAATCTGGAGTGCTGTTTGATGTTTCATCATAATTACTTCCAAGTTATGTATTGTTAGAAATACAAGTGATGCTGTGCTCTTCTGTCTATGTCACATCTGGCGGCACATGATGTTGCTTTTTCTCATCACTGGTGAAGTTCGCTTTGACTATGGAGTAATGTGGTTTTCACCAGGTTTATACACTGAAGAGTTACAGTTTTCCCCTTTTATAATTACATGTATTTAGGGAATGAGGAGTTAATCTTTGAGACTATTAAATTTACCAGTGTTACTGCAACTTTTACCACCATCTTTAGCATCCATCGATATTTCTGCCTGAATTGTGGTGTGTTTGTGGTTGCCAGATGATGATTTTCCAATCCTGTTATTTCTTCCTTATTTATTATTTTGGTATTTTACTGTAAGAGCTTTCTCTTTATTTCTATGTATGTGGACTCGTGGATTTCTATTTTATTCAGTGCAATATGATTTGCCATTCTCATTATTTGTTTTGATATTCAAATTGTCCCTGATTTCCGATTTAGTCTGACTTCTGTGTCCATGTGTCATAACCCAACCATTCTTTTTTTTTTTTAAATACATTTTTCATTGATTTCAGAGAGAGGAAGGGAGAGGGGGAGAGAGATAGAAACATCAATGATGAGAGTCACTGATCAGCTGCCTCCTGCACGCCTACTGGGGATTGAGCCTGAAACCCAGACATAACATCCTGACCGGGAATCGCACCATGACCTCCTGGGTTCATAAGTCAAAGCTCAACCACTGAGCCATGCCAGGCATGACTCAACCATTCTTTTTTTTCTAATACAGTAAGATGCTCCAGGCTCAGTTTTGTACTTTCCTATACCAGCCGTTGAACCACCCTTTATCCAAGGAACCCTGATTCCTTTTAGTGGAGAGTGGTATTGAGAAACAAAGAACAGGGCATTAGATATGCTCGCTGGTCTTATGGTGTCACTGCTCCCAGGCCCTCAGTGGACATAGGAAACACACATACACGTCTGTATGAGCGCATATAGACTGAAACCAATTCCAGTCTAACACTGCAGGGTTCAGTCCGCTTTTCCCTCTCCCTCTTTTTGTTCCTCATTTCAGTGAGAAGTGTTGCTCCTGTTGGCTTCAGTGAATATTCTTATTTCCTCACTTCCTGTACGTGGCTAATCTCCCAACTCTGCCCAGCTACCATCCCATTTCACTGACTTCCTCACATGGTCCCTGCCTCCATTGGGCCTGCCTCCTAGCTCAGCCCGCCTTACTGCTTTATGACTGAATCGAGGAAGGACAGAAAGAAAAATTTTGTTTTATATTGAGTTGTTGTAAACATGTTTTTAGAGGCTAAGTTGAATTAAAAGTTTTTAATTAACAAATCAGCACTTAGTATATGATTTGTTATATTTTTATGATTCAGGTTTGACCTTATTGATACCTTACCTTCTGACTACCAAGAAAAAGTGGAAAGACTGTAAGATCAGAGTATTCATTGGTGGAAAGATAAACCGAATAGACCATGACCGGAGAGCGTAAGTCTACTTTAAATTGAAGGGCATTTGACTAGTAGTACTTTATTATTACTATACAGATTTGCTAGGATAAACATTAGGCAATCAATCCATAAAATGCCAGTCATATTGCTCTGTTCTATACTGACGCTGAAAATCCTCAAATAAAACCTCTTTAATTTTAGTCTTTAAGTTATACTTAGTTTTACTGATATGTAATATTTTTTAATATATTGACATTTTAGAAAGTATTAATATTTATTGTATTAAAGTGTTAAGGAGCTTTTTTTTTTTTAATCAGGAGAATATACACAAAAATTACATGTTCATACATGGGGTACGTTTTGTAGGCTCTGGACAGCAGGAATGCAGGATGCCACTGTCACCCATTCCCATGCCTATGTTGTCACAGTTCTGGTTTCAGTGCTTCTCTAAGTGCCTTTGTGGTGTCTCTGGTTTGCACATTGCTCCCAGCTTCGGGGTTGGAAAACAGAGCTTTATCATATGATTCCTCTGCCCAAAATACTTTATAACATTTTCCTGTTACATACTATAGAAAGTCTATGCTAAATGTGGCAATCAGGGTCCTTTACAACCTATCCTCCTGTTCCCTATTTTTATCTCCTGGTCCCCCCAATATGCCTTACACTTCAGTTTGCATTTCTGCACTTGCTCTAAACATACGTATGATTTCAGACTTTTACTCCTTTGCTTACTCTTCAATCTCTCTCCTATTAAATAGCTCTTTACTTCTCTGTAAAAATACTCCATTCTAAAGCTTAGGACGGTTGTCACCTTCTTCATAACGCCTTCCCTAGTATTTCCCTCTGCCGTCCTCCACTAGTTGCTACATTTCCTTCCTGAATCACGATATACTCGATACCACTCGTTACATTCAGGGTTTATGTTATGTTTATTTTGTTACCTGAGATTTGAGGTTTGTGGGCCCTATAACAGACACATAGCAGGCACTTAGGAGATTTCTTCTGGAATTCTACTAGGTGTTGGTGTTTATTCATTTCAGATAGTGAATTATGCAAGAAGCAGTAAAAATGACTTAAAAGTTAAACCTGTTGCTCATCTGTTTTCTAACATCTTAATTTAGAAAACTCATTTTAATAAAAATGAAATCCTGTTTTGTTAATTGCTTTTCCTGCTGTATGTTTCAACTTTTCTATTGTTGCCCCTAAGGTTTCATTGCCAACTATGCCTCCAAAAGGGTATTTATTGAAAAATTGGAGGCTGTTGGAGCTCCTTTCCATGCCTGTGCAAGCCCATCCCCGGCACCCCTACACCCTCCAAAATACTGTGAACTTAATCTACTGTCAGTAATAACTTGCATTTGGTCCAAAAAGTCATATTTGGGCCTTTTGAGGTATGCATTCAGCATTGATGAAAGAATAATCCAAAAATAATTAAACAAATAACTATTTACTAGTTTTTACTAACATCCTTATGCTTAATATAATTCCACTAAAATTAAAAAATACTAGTTGTATTCAAATTTCATTATTAATGTATTTCACTGTCCATTACTGGATACTAAGGAGAGATTCAGAGAAAGTAAAAGAATATAACAGAAGCCTCTACTCAGAATTTTTGACATCTACTTTGTGAATGTACAGTGTGAATTAATTCAGATGGGCTTGTTTAGCATGTGATAGATATTTTTCCTATAAATCATGCTTTTCAGGTACTCAGATTCAGTCCTAAATAGAAAAGAAATACTTATATATGGCCTTCATGTATCTCAGTGCTATTCATTTTTGTTTTAGGATGGCTACTTTGCTTAGCAAGTTCCGGATAGACTTCTCCGATATAATGGTCCTAGGAGATATTAATACTAAACCAAAGAAAGAAAAGTAAGTTATTAAATAAATTACTTTGTACAAATTTCTGATACTTTTGGATAACGTACTCAGACACCGCAGTAATAGATTATTTAACTTAAACTAAGTTTAAGTTCCCCGCACCAAGCAATTCTCAGACACAAGCAGGGTATCCAAGAATTCAACTCAATTAGGACACTATCTACCCAGAGATAGAATCAGATGACACAGGTAAAGGCTCAGCCTCACAGAACTGCCCTCCACTTCAGATTCTAGTCACAAGCCCAGGTTGTTACCTGTACTTCCAACAGACTGGCTATAAATCAGAGGTTCACATGACCCCCTCTTCACTTTCAATTTACTAGAATGGCTCACAGAACTCAAGAAAATCCATTTACTTACTAGATTACTGATTTATTACAAAGGAAATTAAAGGATATGAATCAATAATCAGATGAAGAGATACATAGAGCGAGGTCCCCAACACAGGAGCTTCTGGCCTTGTGGAGCTTGGGGCCCAGCAAGGTGGCACCTGGAACCATTCTGGTCTCCAGAAAAGAAAGAAAAGGACCAATGAGCTGCCCTCCCCAGTTTTTATGGAGGCTTCATTACAGTCATGATAGGCTAAGTCACTGGTCATGGGCAATTATTCTCAATCTCCAGCACCTTCCTATTTCCAGGAGGTTGGGGGTGGGGACAACTGAAAGATCCAGACCTCCAATCACAAGGTGGGTTCTCCTGACAACCAGCCCCTACCCTTGGGTGGGATCCAAAAGTCATCTCATTAACTTAAAAAAGCAAAACAAAAAACACCTTTATTACTCTTAATACTTTGGAAATTACAAGAATTTTGGGAGCTGTGAACTGGGAACTGTAGATGAAGACCAAATATGAATCACAATATTCCAATACTGAAAAATGTTTTTCACATTCATAGAGAATTAGAATGCTTTTCATGTTCTTTTAATATCTTTTGTCCTATTAAGTAGTATTTGGATCTAGAGATTAATTCTGCATCTTCTTAAATGTTTAGTATCTGCCCTTCCATCCCTTCAAAATGTTCTAGTACCTTTTCTTATACTATTATTTAGTGGTACTTGAACTGGGAACACCTATCAGTGTTTTTAATAAAATAATAAAACAATTTGACTTAATTGCTCAAAGGGATCATTCTGGCACTGTGGTGAAAATTTATTTAGGTTGGGGGGTGGGTATAGGAACAGGGGTGGATAAGAGAGATCAGAGTAGTTAGAGTACAGAGGGGAACACAAGAGATGGAAAACACTAACTTCTTCAGTTATAATTTTGTGTTTAAGATCTTACTGTTAAGAAAGTAATTCAAAATAAGGTTAAATGTCATTGTTCTTTCTACTTTTTTAAAAGCATTATAGCTTTTGATGAAATGATTGAGCCGTACAGACTTCATGAAGATGATAAAGAACAAGATATTGCAGATAAAATGAAAGAAGATGAACCATGGCGAATAACAGATAATGAGCTTGAACTTTATAAGACCAAGGTATTCTTTCTCTTCTGCTTACTTTTCATTAACCTTCCCTGTGATTTTTAAAAAATATTTGAGGCATAAAAGTAAATATCAAGAATTGCAATGTGTTATGGGGGGACCAGTTGTGTAAATTAAATCTACTTTAAATTGGATTTATATGTGGGCATTGTGAAGAACTAATTTAAGTTATGGAACCGATTTTTATTATACCCAAATTGATTTTGGTTTCTTTTTGTCTACTTATACTTTTATGAACCATGATGAATTCCAATTTTCAAATGGTCTAGGAATGACTTTGTATTGTTTCATTTCAGACATACCGGCAGATTAGGCTAAATGAATTATTAAAGGAACATTCAAGCACAGCTAATATCATTGTCATGTAAGTAATACCTGTGCTAAGATTTTTCTTAGGTATTCATTTTATGATAATGCAATTAGGATTAATTTTGATGCCAAATGCATATCTATTTAACACCCATAATGACTTAGTAGTTATAAAGAGGAAAAAAACCAAACTTTTTAAAATACACTTTGCTTTAAGCATATAGAGAAATCATTTAAGGTAGGAGGAAAGAAAAATCTTAAGCTTATAGGAATCTAAGGAATTCTTTATCATATTAATTTTGGAATTTTTTCTTTATCCTTGTTCCCATCTTTTAAATTTTCTTAGCCTTGGGAACACTGTAGCGTAGCCGTCAAGCATGGGGGGGTATGATGGCCTGGTTAAAATTTGGACCCCAGGCATCTTCCACATAGAAATAAAGTTGCTTGGAGGATTAAACTGAAAACGTGGTTCCTGTCTGAGTCCCACCCAAGTTCCGCTGCACAGGCTTTACATACAGACACATTGCCCTTGCAGTGAATATAGCTCACTCTGGCTTTCCTTCCACTAAACCAGGTTAGCTAGATAGTACTTGAATCCCAATTTTCTCAGTCCTGGAGCCTGGGTCTTAAATAGGTAAGGAAAGCTCCAGCCTTCAAAAACATGCCAAATGATTGAATAAAGTAACACCAAAGGATGGTGCTTTTGATTAACAATGATCATTAAATACACCAGGAAAGTTTGTTTTCCCGATGATCAGATATCTGTATGGAAGATGCTAAAGCACAGAAATCTAGAAACTGTATAGAGCAGCTGGTCACTGCTACTACCTATAAATAGAAGTGAAAGCACAGAGAAATGGAAAGATAAAAATTAATATCTAGAAATAATTATGTTTGAATTTATTTATGTATAGTTTCCACTTTCTAAATTCAGATGGAAACATCCTTTTCTCTTAAAAGAATTCTGTATTTATTGAAGAAGGGGGAATTTGGGGCTTAATGTTAGATACCAGATGTGTTATGCTATTCTTCGGAAGAAATTTTAACTTTTTTATTCAAACAAAGAAAATAAGAATAGTGTTATGGTAGTGTAATAGTTGCTATACTATACGCAGAATTTCCCCATGCTTAAAAATATTCTGTAATTATAGAAATTTTTAGTTACTATATTGTGACATAACCTAATTTTTATTTTCATTTTATTCTTCTCAACTTAAATGCATTGCTGAATTTCCTTTCTCTTTATGGTACCAGGAGTCTCCCAGTAGCACGAAAAGGTGCTGTGTCCAGTGCTCTCTACATGGCATGGCTAGAAGCTCTGTCTGAGGACCTACCGCCAATTCTCCTAGTCCGTGGGAACCATCAGAGTGTCCTTACATTCTATTCTTAAACCTTCTACACAGTGGACAGCCCTTCAGATGGTACTTCATTGCCTAGTGAAGTAATTGAAATCTTCAGTGACACGTTAACATCACTATGGCGAACTGTGACTTTTCTTTCACTATTTCATTAATTTGAAAGCACACAGGGAAGTTGTTCCATTGACATGTGATGGAGACTTCAGTTTTAGTAATGTATCTCAGTTTTAATGATGATTCCTTGTTGTTGGACTAAAGCTCACGAGAGTAAAGTTTTCCTTTGCTACTTGAATAGCAATAAAAGTGTGTTATTTTTTGATTGATGAAAGGAATACAAAAAGCCTTTAGCCTTGAGGTGCCTTCTGAAAATAACCAAATTTCATCCATATATCCTCTTTTATAAATTTGTAGAATGTCAAACTTTGCCTTCAGCTGTTATTTTTATTTCTAGTCTCTACCACCTTAAAATAAAACGGACACTGCTTTTCTTCTTCCATTGAACAGTTAGCGTTGAGTACTGTATGTTTTCGATTATTTTTGTAAAGGTATAGGTTAGATATTAAAGGTGAGAGCTAGGGAAAGTTAATGAAAAAAAAAAAATGGGAACCAAAATGTGACCCCAAGTTTAGGTTTGTATGAGTCAGTACAAATGTAGACCTAGGGGGAAGAGTCCCAGTAAACCATTTTTGTTTTGTTTTGTTTTGTTTTTTAACTTCTAAGTGGCTTTTATTTGTATCTTTATTCAATTATTATTGAAATGTTAGGGAAGGTTAAAAATTTATCCAATACTTCTATATACCACTGAAAATTAGATATTGTCATTCTTCAGACAGAATTTCTCAAGATCATTTGTAGTTATTAGAAGAGAAATTTGTCGTCCTAATTTAGAGTTTTCTTCAAATCTGAGGGACTTTTAAGAAATGCTAACAATTTTTTCTGGAGGAAAATCATTGCCATTTCATAGAATATTTCAATAAACACTACATGGAATTTCACTATACAGTCCTTTGTAAATCATTAAAATAATGTTTCATCAAATGGTTAAATGGACCACTGGTTTCTAGTGAAATGTTTTTAGGCTTAATTCATTCAAACTTCAAGTACACGTAGTCTTAATTAATATACTCAGGTTTGAACAGATTATTCTGAACATTTAAATTTAATCCATTCTTAATACTTTAAAACTTTTGGGTTAAGAAAAACTGCCAGTTTGTGCTTTTGAAATGTCTGTTTTGACATCACAGTCTACTAGTACAAATATGACAGTGCATATGTACTGTTACTAAAAGCTTTATATACAATTATTAATGTGAAGTTTTCATTTTTTATTCAAGGAAGGATTTCCTAAAAACATTTCAAGGGATCTATATCTACATATCTGTATGTGTGTGTGTATATGTATATGCATACACAGATGCAATATGTGTATATATATATAACATGTTGCTGGTTTTTTCATTTTAAGTGATCAAGATTCATTAGATTAAAATTTTTTGTTTTAGTAAACAAGTTCAAAATTAGATTGAAAGAGACAGGCTTCTTGGAGAACAAAGGTGATTATTTGAAGGGCATGTAATTCACACAGTTATCATTCAGTTAGAAAATGGAGAACTTTTCATCTAAAGTACTCTTAAGTGGATTCAGTGGCAAAGAATTTATGCCAGTTTTAATGAATCTCGATAGAAAGCTATAAAATTACTACTGTTGTCAATAATGCAGTATTTTTGCTGCATGAACATGAACTAAGTTAATATAAAAATGGAGATCTGATAATAATTTTGAATTAGAATGTTTAGAAAAAGAAATAATTGTTTTTTCCAAAATATTTTTTTCCTATGTTATAACTCATAGCATTGTTCCATTTATGGCAGGTTTTGTAGCGTCTGGGGGTAAAGATGGTAGAAATGTCATATTATTCAGTAAACAATATTTATGTTTGAATTTTTAAAATGGATAATAGGGCATGAACTGAGTGCTGCTATCTTGAAATGTGCACAGGTACACTTACTTTTTTTTTCCTTCAAGTTTTTCCCATTCAGGAAAACATCATTGTGCTCTGTACTGCAGGAACCAAATGTCATGCATCATACATATGTGTATAAAGTACATACAATATATCTAAATATGCATAATGGGGGGAGGGTAATATTGTCTGTGAAATAATGTAAGAAGCTTTTCACTTTAATTAAAAAAAAAAAAAAAAGCATTTACTTTTAATTAACACTAGACACCAGGTCAAAAATTTCAAGGTTATTGTAGTGCTCTAATAAAGTTCAATAATTAATTCTTAGAGATGCTAGCTAGTGTTGAAGCTATTCCACTCTATTTTATTTATACTGAATTTGATTATTTTAATACCAATTTTTTTTTTTAGTTCTAATCATTGGTGATAACTTGGAAACAAATAAATTATGCAAAGGCATTTGTCCATTCATTATTCCTATAGGTAAAAATTCAGTGGGTTTAGAGAGAATGGTGGTGTTAAGCTGATTATTAATGGTTAATTAAATCAAATATTTATTTGTGACATTATTTCATTTGTATTTTAGGTTTTCTTTTACATTCTTTTTATATGCTTTCTGATATTACATATTTTTAAAGACTATGGAAATAATTTAAAGATTTGAGCTCTGGTGGATGTTTACTAAGTTTGCAAATGTAATATTTTGATAATACTGTATTATAACTGTCACAAAAATGCTTTTCTAATGTTTTAACATTGAGTATTGCAGTTGCTGCTTTGTACAGAGGTTACTGCAATAAAGGAAGTGGATTCATTAAAACTATTTGATGTCTACTCATATTTTATTTGTTTTATAAATCGATGTCAACTTTGTGACAACCTCATTTATAGAGCTCTTATTGAGGTCTGAGGGTTTTTTTAGCAGTTTTACAGTTTATTTTATATGTCAGAATCAAAGGAGAAGATAAAAAGGTTACATGAAATCCATTGGTGATAGATTAGGGACGAGGGAGAAAAAAGCAAAGCTGGGAAATCTCTGGGATTGGGTAAAAAGTAAAATGTAGGCACGTACTTCTTTTACATTGGTGGGTACAGGATAGTTAACACTCGACAATTAACATGATAATGTTAGACAACAATTAACAAGGTTTATGTTAGATATTAAAGGTGAAGAGACTTGTGGTCTCTTCTCTGGTGCAGTGATTGTGCCCTGAGGAGTCTGGAAAAAGGAAATTACCCTGACATTCCAAAGGTATGTTATCGTAGATGCAAAAAGACAATAGACAGGCTCAGTTAAGGTAAAGGTTGACCTTTTTCGGGGAAGATAACAGCCTAGGACATGACTACCTGTCACATAGTCACGACCTGCTTTTAGTTAGGAAGTTTTAATTTCAGAGGATCCTATGTGGTTCCTTTCGGTCTCTGAGTTTGGAAGGCTGCCACTCGGGCTCCCCGAGCTGTCAGGTTTAGTATGTGGCCCTTTTTTTGTCCACAGTTGTGTGTCACAGAAACATGCAAATTTTCTTGTCAAATGAGCTCTCATCAGGTCTTTAGAAGCTGATGGGTTCATGAAACTGCTAATCCAGGGTCAAGTAAAACAAGAATCGGCTACATGGGACTGAATGAGCTGATGAAGATGATTATGATAATGATTTTGGAAGAGGTCTGAGTTTTTTAAGTGGCTTTTACCTTAATATTCACGCCCTGGAAAAGTTGTTTGAAATTGTTCATTATGCCTAAGCCTTTGGAATAATCACTACTGATACTGATAGTTGATTGAACCATATAAGATGCAGTTCCTTTTGATTTTTTAAAAAATGATATAGCTTTTTAAATTCTATTTTATTAATCTTTGGCCCAAATCATGCATTTATGAATAAGGAAATTAGAAGATTAAATGGATTCATGGTTCCTGAACATAATGATTCTTTTCTGAGAGATTTGGCTAAGCTGATTTACAGTTTAAAAAGCATTTTCACTTTCTCACTTGAACATTACAGTAGGTGTGTTATATACGCAGGACAGCTATTTATCTCTCTTTTACTCTCGAGAAAGCAGCTTGGAGTAACATAGGGAGTTTCCCAGGATCATGTGGTAAGTTAAGGAAGGATGCTGGCCTAGAGCCCAGGTCTTTCATCTCCAGGGATATATCTGTTATGCATTTACTGTTGCCTGATCCATAACTTAGAGGGCTGTGCTAGATTGGTAATGTCCAAACTTTCTATACAGTTAGGAAAATAAAGATTGGCTACAGGCTGCCTTAATAGATCTGAAACCAAATGTACGTGTCCACTATATGATTTTTGCTTCTTGCTTAGTCTCTAATAAGCTATGATTCAGGCCAGTTTACTTTACTGCTTTGGGGAGTTAAAAGAGAATTCAAAGGTGCCCGGCCGGGCGTGGCTCAGCGGTTGAGCATCGGCCTAGGATCCAGGCGATCAGGGTTCGATTCCCGGACAGGGCACATGCCCGGGTTGTGGGCTCGATCAATGACTCTCTCATCATTGATGTTTCTATCTCTCTCTCTGCCTCTCCTTTCCTCTCTCTGAAATCAATAAAGATATATTAAAAAAAAAAAGAATTCAAAGGCAACTATGAATGTGGCATTTCCTTATATCAGGAATGTAATTCATCTTTGATCCAGCGGGTCTTTTTGTTCATTCACCAGGAAGAAAGATAAATACACTTGATATGCTTCTGTCTTTATGTAGCAACAAGATGCTTGTAGGGTTTGAGCAAATAGTTGGTAGTTTAATATTTAACTGTTTGAATAAATATGGCACAAGTCCTAGGATATACTCATCAGAAAAGACTGTAGTTTAGCTAGTTCAGATAGTACACAAAATGTGTTTGTGGGTTAACCAATTTGACATATATATGTAGACTACTAAAATACTTAAGATCCAAGTCTCTGTTCTTTATAGAATTTGGAAGCAATGGTCATAGGTCTGTTTTACATGTTCGACAGGTTATACATGCAAGCATTAGGAACTTCAGTCCATTTTTCCCCCTTGAATCTACTACTGAATTTTGTCTTAGACAAGGTAAGACCTAGAACTGTTGTTTTAGGGAAAATGTGAAAACCTCTGAATTTGTCATCTGCTGTTGTGCAGTCTTATTTGTGGCTGCTGTCCTCACAGATCAGGAACTCTTTCCCAAAAATGATAGTGTCTGGTCAACACAGGCTTTGTTCCACTATTCTAGGATATGAATGCAAATTACTAAGATATTCTGCCCATGGCTACAACTGAAAATAAACTTACTTTTTTGATCCATAGAATGGGATCAGTGATCTATGGATATGCAAAAGCAGAGGACCCTGACTTAGTACTTGTCAAATTTCATTAGAATACTGCTGAAGCCTTTGGGGTAGACTGTGGAGATTTTGTCATGAAAGTGTTAACTTATCCAGTATAAGAAGGGAAGTAGCTTGCAGGGCAATTTTATATCTAGCTCTTACATCTCTAATAACAGATAGACCACGAAAAAGTTTTAAAATTAAGATGGCAGTGTTTTTTATCTGCATATGGCACACATAAAGACATAAAGGAACTACTGTAAGATACATACTTCTTGCTCTTCTACGTTCTAAATAAAATTAAGCCCCAACTTGTCATTTTTCAAGGAGATAGTCATA